TCATGACTTCACCATATACGTGCGTGTTTTCAAACTCGTTAGGAAGACTGAATTGATGCAAGCTCTGCATCAGGGATGGGCAGTATTTCAAATACTTTGTATATTTTGCATTTGTATTTAATTACAAATTGGGTAATGTATCTGACGTGTGTATTTTAATACTAATATGTGGGTATTTCAAATACAATTGTAATTAAATACAATTTTGTGGGCGAAAATACATCCCTCAAATTTATTGTCCCAATTCATTTTGCTCATCCTAAGAAGTGTCCAAAGCTGCTCTTTCTTCATCTCAACGCCAATGGCAACAGCAAACCAAGAAACTCTTCATCTCTTCATGCACCAGTCCTGCGGCAGTTCGCGTTTCGCTCACCGTGGGCGCCTGCAACACTTGCCTGTATTACGTTAAATAAATGCTATTGCCAAAGTTACAATTCTTGCTTTTATGCGTGTGGTTCTAAGATATAGTCTAAATCCTTTATTCGGCCATGGGGCTTTTTTCTTTTTCCCCTCCGGCTTAATTTTAAAGGCACTGTCCAGAGCAGGAAGAAAACTATGTTCTGCACCGAATGCAGTGTCTCTCAATCAAGCACAAGCGTTTAGTGACTTTGTGATTACGGTGCTAGTCCAGGGCAAGAATAGTGACGAAATTGACGTTCACAGGCAGACTGGCTAAATAAGTGTCTGTGAAAACTTGTGATGCTTTCCAGACTGATTTCCATCCATATTTTTGCCTGGAACATTCTAAATGCGCGAATCGTCTGATTTTCGTAACTGGTGCAAGTTGCAATAAAAAATTCTCTAGTTAGTACTGCGCGTCTTGGTCGTCTCGGTTTTTTGTTGGTCTATACCAAAATGTAAGACAAAAAAAGCTGCTTGAAGCTCTGTATTTTTTTCACCTATTACGTCCAAGCTGATTACATTTTTTTGTGATTATATTTCTATTACGTTACTAGAGCATCGCACACTAACTCCCAAGTGAGCGATGCAAAATTAAAATGATACCCAAAAACCTGTTGCAGGTGCCCTGAAGTCGCTGACGCAAATTTTGAGGAATGTATTTGGGAAAAGTACTTGGAGGAGACCAAATACATTTGGTTGTATTTGTATCTTGTACTTTAATGCTTTTTTTGAATTGCAATTAGATTTGTAATTAAATGCATTTTTGACAAAGTATTTTGTATTTGTATTTGGACACATATTTGCATTATTTTGCCCATCCCTGCTCTGCATGTTGTGGTGTGCTTAAAAACGTCGCACCGTGTCTCTTTTGGCGTTCACAATTGGTTGACGGCCAATTTTGGTGCAGGCAGCGCCTCATCTCCTCAGCCTGCCTATGTCCAGTGTTAGCGTTGAGAGGGCATTCTCAAAGCTCATTGTCATATTAACAGGAAAGAGGAGTCCGGATCCACAAAGAAAACCTGGGAAAGTACAAGTGTGTGTGCACTATAATAACATCACGTAATCCTGATATACAAGGTGAAGTTCCACGATTTTGGGCATATAGGCTTCATACCCGACTTGTTTGTACTTGTATTTTTCTTTCTCGTTTCTTTTACAGTTGCACACATTTGCCAAATGAAGTGTCGATTTCTTTTTCAGTGTATCTGTACCGTTATTCTTTGAATAATCACAAATATCAGAGTTACAAGGATAATTTGATCCGGTGTCCATTGGTGTTTATTTTATATTCACCAAAAAAAGCTGATAAACTTTCGTGGGCATAAATATACGCCGAGAGAAAAAAACCGAAAATAGAATATTAAAATAAACCCCAATAAAAGTATGCCGAATTTTTAAAAAATGGAAACCGAAAAATCCAAACCCTAGTCATAGTCGACGACAGCTTAAGAGTTTAGGGGAAGCTTCTCCCACCTCTTTCCACTTCAGCAGAGCAAACGCTGGAGAGGAGGGAGCCCAGTCTCCAGTGTCCGCCCCGACTTTTCTGCTAGGAATGTTTTTAAAATTACTCGAATATAACAAAGTGAAACATCCTGTTTGATGTGGGCCAGCTATGACTGAGCCAACTGGGATACTAGATACAAAAATGTGCTCCATGATCTTTGCTATGGCATTTTAGTTCTAAAAGGGACAAGAACTGTTCAAAAAGAAATTCAGTAATGAATTTGCTTGAATCAGTGGGGGACTGCAGACACCAACCTAAAGGTTGCCAACTTTCCATTCTTATCATACAATAGTATCTGGGTCAGTCAAATTGTCACCAGCTACTTCCCCGGGCTAAACAATAGTGAGCCAAACAATAGAATCTCGTACGCTTCCAGCAGCTTTAGTGTGACCTGAAAATTGTCAAGTTATGTGGAAGACCAGCTTTCAAGATACAGGTCAAAGTGCTTTTCTAAACCATTTTTTTACAACTCTAGGAGTTCCAAAACAGCAGACCCATAATGCTTAAAGTGAAACAAGTGGATCTTATCCGAGAGCCCCAGGAAATAGTTATCGAGCCTAGGCTCAGGCGATTGCTAGCCCCAGCCTTGATAATGATTTCTTGAGACTGTCTGGGACAAGTCTGGCTGATTTCACTTGAAAGCTACCCCCCAAAAATGATAATCCACATGAAAACTCAGTATTGATGACAGCACAAACTTTAAGTGATGCATCAGAGAAGAAAAATGAAGTATGGTGATCTTAATATGGGCAGCCACGTTTTCCCAAAAAAGCGGCCATAATGCTAGTTGTCCATAATAATGACAAAATTGATGCATTTACCCTGTTCGTCCCTTAAAAGGTTTTCAATATAAGGGTATCTACATTATTTGGGTTAACGAGACTTGACTAATACTATACATCAGGCTTACACCAATGATTAATCTATTGTAGTGCTCTGCTCCCGCTTGTGGGAGCAGAGCAAAGCAAATGATAAAATGTCTCCAAGTGTCCATTCCCAGCATCTATTGCATTCTGACCCATTGTCTTAAAAACGCTTACATGTTAAAAGATAACTACAGGAAAGCATATGCAGCACATGCCATCTGCATACACAAAGCAGTAAAAACATGCCTAAGGCGGTATCACTATAGGAGTCTTGTATCCAATCTCTCGTTAAAATCTAACGGGATGGTAGGGAGGCAGAAACGCTGTAATCACGCTTGCGCAGTCGTGACTTCAGTGAGGTAATTTAAACAGGTTGAAGAGATGCTGGGGGGGGGGGGGCTATGCTCGACGAATGTTTCGTTTCTCCTAAAAGGAAATGGAAACGACAATATCGCGTCTGATTGGTTAGAGGCTCAAATGACGAAAGCTCCCTCTTTCGTCATTTGAGGTGCTAGCCAATCAGATGCGATATCGTCACTTCCGTTTCTTTTTAGGACAAATGAAACACTTGTCAAACATAGCCCCAGGTTTGCATAGAACAAAGAACGGTGTTGATGTCGCTGGCCTGTAATAAGGCGGAGCCTCCTGAGGGGGCGGTTCACCGAATGATACTTTAGCGAATAGTTGGGCGCCGCGAAGCTGCGTTTACGTGTGGGCCAATGCACACACACATGTGGGTTCACATATTTTGTAATGAGCCGCCTCAGACTGTCGCCGCGAAGCAGCGTAAAGCGCAGCGCGGCGGATGGGTTAACGCGCGCCCCCGTTATTGCCCCGGAGGCTCCGCCTTATTACAGGCCAGCGACATCAAGACCCAAAGAACTAAGTACGCTGCTAACACGACAACATAGAACGAAGAACTACGCTGCTAACATGACAGCTCAGAACACTATGGTTTGAATGCTGACTGCCGGCTTTTAAATGCACATTTCCACCCAATTATCGAAAAAATCCAATGCACCACTGGTCACATTAAAAAAGACGAGGATAACTGAGTAATCATATGATGGATATCTGACACACAGTTCAAGTACTGTAGTTCAAGGTGACAGACATGTCGCGCATGATACACAACGGTGACATCGTCGATGTGACGAAAGCGCCGCGTTACGAAAGCGCTTATCATAAAAAAAGGTTATCGCGAGGAATTTCCTGCGGGAGTCGAGGGCGTATCCCGGTCGCACTTTTGAAAGGAGTCGAGCGAATATGGTTACCACTGACACTGGTGGCGGTGTTCTGGACGAGTCATTCGTTAACACAGCAAGGCGAGAACGCGGTCGGGACGGACTGGCGTATCTCCAAGGAAGATCTAATAAAGGACTACAAATTAAGACTTGACATGTTGACGCAAAGAGCGCGAGACGTGCCGCCGATACGAATTTCGGTCCTTCCGAAACGGTGTGTGCGCGCGTGAAGAGGCAGTCAAGTGAGCGTGACGCGGTATGGTAATTCTCAAGCCCAACGCTGGTCGACTACATTTTCCTGGGTTTACGGCCTTGAGTCAGAAATAAGGAAAAATGAACTTCGACCCGTTTCAAGCCGGCGGTCAAATAAATTAGCGCCTCGTTATTTGCGACAAATACTCTGCACATTCGCACGGAAAGACAGATCCCATGACTGAGACGTCGAAGGATGACACAAACCTCGGTGAAAATAAAAGCAAGATCCGAGATGAGTAGGCCTACGAGTTAGTAGGCGTTGCAGCAGGGACAGGGTCTGTACAAGCCTGTTTTATTACACAACGCTCACTAATTTAAGCTGAAGGGGAACTCGCAGAGCCCGAATCGTGGGAATAAAGCTTGGCGGTAAGACGCGCGCACTTTTTTAACCGAGAAAACAAACCTAGGGAACTAGGTGACACAAATGTCATTCATTACGGGGATGGATGGTAATACCTCGCTAAGCAGACAACGTGCACGATTTTAACGCACCGGTCGCGCGAGCTCTTGGGGCACCGACTGAGTTTAGAAAACGTATTCGTGGTAAAAATCAGCAGATGAACAGTCGGGCTGTAAGAAATTAAGCCTACGAATGCCTCACCCAATTTCAACACAGCGCATCCGGCGACTAGAACACTAGCTCAAACTACACTTTTGCATCGACTCGCATCGATTTGAGGCGAAGCGTTGGCACCGAGTTTACAAAGCAATAAACAGAAAATCGCTTACCTTTGAAAAGATAATCATATTCGTCATCTTTATTGGCCATCCTAAGCCGCGGACTCGGCTATTCCACTTGAAGAACAGCGAACGATGAGGCCGGAACCAACAGGAATAAATATCTCACACAGTAGAAGAGTCTTTCAGATCATAAAATACGACTCGAACGAGCGCACCGTCCGCGAAAATACACCGATTGTCACAGATAAAATATCCTTCTACGACACCGAAGAAACAAGATGGCAACGCGTTCGACGCCCCCAGAATCTGCGCAAACTCCGTGCGAAACGGAAATACAACCGGAAGTTGATGCCAAAGTGCCCGTATGTAAATAATCGCACGCGAGTTTAGGGTGTTTTACACGGGACTCGCTGAATATTGTGTTGTGGAATGGACTTGAATTGATCGCAGGTTTATTCGTTTAGACTCGCGAGTCTGGGTAAATCCAAGGTAAGCAACAGAAAGGACTCTTCACGGAGAGCGTCCAGATTTTTTTTTATTCCGGCACAATGTTCTCGCAACCCTTCCCCGTGGCACTTCCGACAAACCGGCTTTTTCGACTGACCTAAGAGATACGGGCTCGGGCTAACCTAAATAAAAATGGCACTTTCAATGCGATTCTACATTTAGCGATTACATACAGTAATTCCTGTAATCATACAACAAGCCCTACCGGGGCGTAAAAACTTGAAGGAACATTGAATGGAACATGCCAGTTGAGCGTATGTTTACAAAGCCTGGCCAAAACAATAAAAGCGATAAAACTGGAACGCTACATTCATTCACTTCTCTAACAACGTTGCGAGATCGAGCCTTCCATGTTTTAAAAACACGTCACACAATTTCAATTGGGGTCGAACAAATTTATAATACATTCTGGTGTAAACACTCGTTTGGGAGTGGTGCTCTAAATAATCATGCATTCAGCTGCGCAACTCATAACTTAACAAACCAGAGATCAGGAACACAAGTAGAACAATGTACAAACATTTTACGGAGGCGTAGACGTCCTGTGGGCAAATGGCACTCGCGTGAACACCTACTTTTCCCCGTTCAAATACCGAGCAAACAAATCCTTGTTGCCGCTAAAGGCTGCTTCACACAGTTACATCCGACTGCGACCGACAGTGTTGCAATCACCTATAACCGCTTAACACACTCGCATACCAGCGCCATCTATATTGGGTAGCTCTGGAACTCTTCTGACCCGCGTGTATATTTTTACCAATTTTTATTCATCATTTCCTCCACCATAGGCTCGAAATAGTTCTAACAATGCTATAAGCAACTATTTCTCATAAACGGTGTGCAGAGTTTACCTCGCAGATACTGCAAAACCTTCGGTGTAGTCACACACGGGTCAGATGTGTTCCAAGCTACCGACAAATGGGGCCAGTGCGTTAAGCGGTTACGAGAGGTTGCGACACATTCTGTCGCAGTTGGACAGAAACAGCCTTAATACTCGAGACACTGGCGTCCGCGCACACCCAAGTTCGAAGAGAGCCCGGCGTTCCAGGCATGCGATGGCACTATTTGGCTTCTCGTGGCGGCGGCGAGAAGAACACGCTGCCGTCAGACTGGGCGGAGAGGTCGAGTTCGGTCAACTTGAAGTCCAAGTTCTCGCTCCGAACGTGTCTGGGGAAACAGCCGCCGGCATTTGCACCAGTGGCGAACGCGGGGTTGCTGGGCCCCGGTCTTGCGCTCGGGTTTTCGGAATGGTGGGCTCGGTGCCTCTCGGGGTGTGGGTCCGTCCTGCCCGGGAACAGCTTCTCCGGGGGCGTGGTCATGAGCGGCGGTCGGGAGCGCCGGGGCGGCGGCGTGCCCAACGCCCGGCCCCGCTCCTCCCTCGGTTCGCCCGTTCTGGCGGCCAGGAACTCGTGGTAGCCCTGCAGGAGCTGCCGCACCTCCGCCTTCCTCGCCCGCTCGGCGTCCTCCATGTAGGTGCACACGTCTTCTGGAATGCCGGAGTTCCGCCAACGTTAGCGGAAGAGGAAGGACTCGTGCCCGACACGTTGAAGACACCGCAAAATGATATTTCAACTTCTCCCTCCTTAGCTTTCCTCCTCAACTCGAAAGCGAATTGACAAACGACGTGGTCGTAACGTAGTATTTCACCAAATGCGACAACTCCGAGCTTCCATCGTGTTTTTTAAGCTCACCATGAAACTTGTCATTCACGATGATGATGAGTGCCATCACGGCACTCATTGGCCACAAACGCGAATCTAAGGATTCGCCGACATATCGATCGTTGACGGGATCATACAGCTGAACGACGCAGGGTTGGTATCGCAATGAAAAGACGTTAGTCTTTTCACCACGAATTAGTCCACTACCTTTTAAAATTTTGCACTGAAAAATAAATTTTTGGTTTACTTTTTTATGGCCCACTAAACAATATGCAATTAGTAAAATCCCATCTAAAATCATTTATCTAGCCCAAAATTCGTACCATGGCCCCTTTCAGGCTGGTTCACAGACTTGCGACTTCTTACAACTGAGTGATCTCTCGCGACGGGAGAGCACACTGGCGCCACCTATCGGCTAGCCGCCGAACACCTTGGCGTTTCCGTATATACTTCCGATTTTTATTGCGCACCATTCTTTCTTTCTGGGCTCGGAAACCTTTTGACAATGTTATAAACAACCATTTCTCGTAGATACTATGTACATCTCGTGTCGCAAGTACCGCGAAACCTCTGCTCTAGTGAAATGCAGTTGCGGGGTCACCTCATAGATGCTGCCAACATGCCAATGTGTTCTCTCGTTCTAAGAGATCGCAAGAACTCGGTTGTAAGCAAACGCGAGTGCGTGAAGGGGCCTCTATCCGTGATGAGAATTACAGTCTGGTTACGGCTGATCATACTACCGCTATAGTCTGTTGCACGTCAAGAAAAGCGGGACAAGCCCCTCCCACGAAGCTCTCTGCTCGCCATGAACAAGGGTTTTCTCCTCTTAGGCATTTGCTCTGGTAAAGTGGAAAGAGTGGAGGGCTTTGGGGGCGAGCTTGTAATGCTTTAACCAATCCACAACAGGCTATAGTATAGCCGTATATAAGTTCAAGAATGTGCCAGAAGCTCTGCCCCCACAGCATTCACTCGTTGCCTTCTGTCACGATTTGACTGGGCGTGCTCGCAAGACTCCAAAGTGATACCAAAGCTAGAAAGCTGGCGCTGGAGACAACTTTTTTTTTCCCATATTCCTAACATAGTGGTCTATCACTTTTTTTTTTTGCTCCTAAGTAATGAAAAAGGAAATTTAATATTACTTTGCTTACACATGCTTAGGAAAAAATTTTTTTTTTTTTTTTTAACATCCTGGTTGGGAAAAGGAAGTCATAAAGCGAATTTACAACGAAAAAAAATTTAGAGCTATATTTACGGCGCAATACGAATTTGTAGTCGGCGCCTGCAGGTGCCGCGGAAAAGTCTCTATTTGTCACGTGGTGCTTGCGGTCTTTCAGAAGCTTCCTATGGCCTCTAAAAGTAACTTAATCATCTTTGTTTGAAGTATAAAAAAAAAAAGGGGCATCTAGCAAATTATTACTTTGAAATTCCCTGGCTTTTCTAGGTTTTCCCCGACAATTTCAGGCGAAATTCCCAGACCATTGTAGAGGCGGTTAAATATATAAGACCATTACAACACAAGGCATTGAGCATTCAGCACTGTAACAATAATTTCGCACGGGCTCAATCCAACTTGCATATTCCGAAATATTCGGGTTCGTCCAGTCCGGATTAAACGAGCACTTTCTTGCCGCCGACATTGTCTGTGAAGAAGCTATTTCCGGAAACACAATGAAAACACGACAGTCAACCACACACGTCAATAACCGAATGGCAGCATGACGCATGGCCGCAAGATGCACACTTTTGGATACTTTCGGCTTAAATTGGATTGCAGTCTGCGGCTTTCCCATTTGTTACTAAATCTAGTAGCTCTAACTAGATCTAGTCTAGTGTCGCGCTCTCAATCCAATCGAGTCCAAGGCTAGGACTGGATTTGTCGGCTGTTCCCTTTGCATCGGGTAGCACACTACATTTTTTTATTTTTTTTATTTACAGAAAAAAACCTGCTTCGCCATGAGGCATTATTGCGGGGGGTGGGTTTCATACAAACACTTTTGTTTTAGAACACGAGTAGCAGTGGGTGAGCAGAGCCCGCAAGCTCCGCTCTAAGCAGAATTAGTCGCTTATTTTTCTGCCCACAAGTTCTCAAGTCTTTGCTCAGGGCACTCGATGGCGTTTCCGGGTCATTTTCCCTGACTGGGCTTGCTTTTTGACAATATCCCTGACAGTTTCCTGATTTTTTCCAGTAATTAAAATTCCCCGGTTTTCCCGGTCGCTAGACACCGTGAAAAAACTAAGATTAATAAGTAACTTTTAGAGCCCAAAGGAAACTCCTGAAAAAGCACAAGCAGACGTGATAGACCTGTGCGGCGGTCAGATGACGGCGGCGGCGACCCAAAGCAGACGAACTTGTGCTGTGGCGGCGACGGCGGCGTGGAGAAACGCGTCGAAGCGGCGTCGCACAACGCTCAGCGTGCGGCGGCGGCGCACAGGCCTATTACATGACCAGCGGCGGCTCCCGCGGGCGCCAACTACAAATTTGTTTTGCGCCGTAAATATAGCTCTAAATTTTTTTTTCTTCGTTGTAAATTCGTTTTATAATATTCTTTTTCCATCTAGCCTGTTTAAAAAAAAAGTTTTTTTCCTTTGCATGTGTTCTTTAACAAAATGACTTGTAATTATTACTGTCGAGGGCCACAGAGACTGGCATGTTTCTGCAGTCTGTACAGGGTTTCCCCGAAAAATTAACACCCCAACCAGGTGCCAGTTTCGGAATTAGCAGTTATTTAATTAAAAAGTTGTAGGTGATTTTCTGAAATTTTCAATGGTAAAATGGTGGCCAATGGAGCCTTCAGTGGTGCTACTGCCGAGACCAGATTTGGAGCAATTTTTGGAGCACCCAAATATTAATTTTGGAGCAGTTTGGAGCACCAAAATATTCATTCTGGAGCAGTTTGGAGCACCCGAATGTCAATTCTGTAGCACTCTCGAGCACTTAAATATAATTTTTTGGAACACTTTTGAGCACTTGTGTACTAAGTCTAGTACTTAAGAGAACCTAGGTTAGATTGACAATTTTCGATGCTGCTAAATGTTACATTAGTAAGTTTTTCACACAAGTATGATATATTGGTTGCAGAAAGACATTGGAAATGAGAAAATCAACACCTTTCAGAAAAAGTTTGCAAGGTACTAGGAGGCACTGCTTTCACAATAAAATGGATGACAAACCGGCTCATCTAACTTATTACACCTTATTTCAAACACAAAGAGCTTATCAAACTGCTCATCTAACATATATACCTGGTTTATTCCAAACACCATGAGCTTATCAAAAGCCTGCTCTTTAAAGTTTCTGTAGCTTTTCATTCAGACCTGCAAGCTTGGTCATATTTTCAGCAAGTCTTGCGTTTGCTTCGGCCAAAGTGAAGTTCAGCTTGACTAAGGTAGGTGGCGCTAGACGCCGCCCAGTTCCCATTACCTGATTTTAAATCAGTTTAGCGCGATTTCGGGCATTTTTGCGAATTTTTTTAGGATGGTGCAAGAATACCTCTTTGGTGCAAACTGGCGCAATTGGCGCAGGAGCGGAAGCCCTGAGCCTTCGAATAGAGCTGAATAATGCCAGTTACCAAGAATGGGCCCACTTTTCCCATTCAAATTTTCAGAAAGTCTCCCATAAAGTTCTGAAACTTTAGTATCTGGTCTGGACCGCCTGCACTACATTTGGGTGCAGACTGAGCGTTAGGCAATGCATGGTTTATTTTTGCAACAAAAATGTGCTGCAAATATTTTTGGGGGGACATGCTGTGCTTGTCAATTAACATAAAAACACAGAAATAATGCCTCAGGAGCACCTCAGATTTATTCACTAAAGCCACAAGTGTTATCATGAATGCATATATGTAATATGGTATCAAATAACAGTGATTCCACACCTGCGCCAAATGCACCATTTTGCATCGATGGCCATTTCCTGCGCCATCCTGATAAAAATCTACCATATTGCGCCAAAATACATGGCTAACTGAACTAGGCGGTGACTTGCGCCACCTATCCTTGCCACATGAAACCTGAACATTTCTGAGGCAAACAGAAGCCTTTCCAAGAAGATGACTAAATCGGCAATCATAAACGAAAAGCTGCAAATGCTTTAAGGGGCCGGCCTTTGGTAGGTTCTTTGTGTTTACAATAAACAATGCACACTAAGTTGCATCAAAAGTTGTGTCAACCTTTTTATATGAAAGATCTGTTTAGTAATCCCTCACATTGGATTTCTATGAATGAGATACATTTTCCATAGTTAAGCCTGCAGAGACCAACATTACATAGTGGTTTATACTGTCTACAGCACCCCCCCCCCCCCCCCCTCCCACCCAAAAAACTTCGTAGGAGATTGGCAAACTTTAAAATTCTTTTAACTAAATTTAGGTGGTGATCATAGGATTTCATAACTGCATGCTTAAAAGTACTTTGGAAAGTAATATTTAGGTGCCCAAAAGCTCTCGAAATTTCATGTTTATGTGCCCCTAAATCTCTTTTAGATGCCCCAGAAATGGCTCCAAATCACAATTTTGCAATAGCATCGCTGAAATAAGAATAATGATAATCACGCAACTTAGTGACGCAATCAACAAAGGGATGGTTTATCTTTGAAGTAGTCATTCAACCATTCTTGGTGTCAAGTAAGGTAATCGAGTAAATCAATAAAAGATTCCTCACGGAGGGTGATCATCATCTTTTTCAAATATAACATGTACAAGACCACTTGGTAAGTACATCTTTCCAGCATATATCACGCAGAAAAAAAAAATGCTGTGCCACTGGACTGTGGACGCATGCATGACTGTGTCTGATATTTTGCAGAGCTACTGCGCATGCTCGGAACGGATCGCACAGCCCAGTGGACAACAATGGTAGCACATAGGGGAATCGGAATGGTCTAAAGACACACTGATTGAACACTGACAATCTGCGAAAATCGCAGGGCTTACTGTCAATCCTGTCCAGGCACTTGGTGAACCAGTCGCTCCATTTGTCCATCACCTTAGCAAGATTGGCCTGGTAGACAAGAGGGAAAAATGTTTGGGTTTAAAACGAAATGTCTTGTACTTGTTTAGCAGTTCCATGAGAAATTCTTGTACTCAATTTTTAACCAGCCTCTAATCAGAACTCCCACATTTTAACTTTTGTGTTTTGGGCATTCACATGTTTCGTGGCAGACGGAGTTTTTTTTGTTTTTTTTCCCCAGGGTTTACCAGTTTGAGAGCACCGTCTTTCCATGCACGTTCAGCACACATAACCTGAATCAGTTTCGTTTGCAAAGATTTCTCAATGAGATTACCCTTCCAATGATGGACTCAAGACCGTAGAAAGCTTGGGGCCTGGCACAGAAGTGCTTTGAACGTGTACAGTGCTCAACGAAACGAAATTGACCAGCGGAGCGCGTGACTTCGCATACCTGCTGCGACATCTGCCGGGATAAGCCACGCAGTCTAGTGTCGCGACTCGCAAGTCGCACATGCGCGCAGCTGAGCCAAGCAGGCTGTTCGCGCTCGGGGTGCAGCCCTCGATAGGCAATTAACAAAGCATGAGTCTCAAGCTAAATTACTTCCTTTAATCATCGTGTGACATTCACAATTTTTATCTGTCGTTCAAGATGTGAAGTTATAAAGTGCCCCAAATATATAAAAAAAGAAAACAGCGAAAAAGGAGGACATTTTATTTATTCAGTCTATGAAAAGGACACACCTGCCATGACACTACATTTATTTAGTATGAATAGCGAGATCACCGCAAATGGTAGTCACTTTTTTACAACTTTAACCTTTAGAAACATAAGCCTGCCTATACACGAGCACAAACTGTTGCCGTGTGCTTGGCTCAGCCGTGCGCACGTGCAACTCGCAACACCAGATAGACCGCCTCTCCTGGCAGATGGCGCCACAGACACGCGAGGCGACGCGCTCTCATGGTCCACATCGTTTCGCTGAGCACTGTACATGGTCATCCAACCCAGGTTCCAGGGCTATGTCCTTGTACCTACATCTTTCCCCACTGCTCCACATAAGTTTCGAGAACTTGTCGGAATAACTGAAAATGGTTGAAACTAGCCATGTGTAAATATTCTATGGTTTAGAATATTCCCTCAAATTGTAGACTATTCATTATTCCCTTCAAACTGAATGGCAGAAATTCCTAAGTATTTGCCTCCAGCGAATAGCTCCATCCAAAGGGCTTGTTTTTGCTGGTTTTGGGTAAGGAAGTTTGGTTAAGGAAGTTGCAGCGCCATCGAAGTGACCAGTGGGAGTTATTTACGAGCGACAATTGACGTCAGCGAGAAGAGAACCAAAACACAACAAAACTTCCAAACCACTACTGTGCGGTCATGGCGGATAGTAAACCTGATAATGGTGCCCATTCCAACCTGACTGAAAATGTAATAGTATCAGCCAACTGTCACAGCTGACAGTGATGCATAAAAAGTGAAATATCTGATGACAAAGATTTCTGCAGTGTTGTGGAATGCTCGAGCGTGTGGTCTTAGAAAGTGGTGTGTTCAAGCGAGATCTTGTTTAAACAGAGTTGCTAGCCAATAGTTCTGTTCTCATTCCTGCGCCTTTGACTTATTTTCTGGGTACACAGAATATACCCAGAAAGTGCCTTTAGACAAGGTAATTTTTCCTACATAATTAGATATGAAATTCTCAACAGTACCAGTGCTATACTGTCAAGGATGTCTTTCTCAAGGGTCACCTTCACACCAAAATGAAAGTTGGTTCGACATTCCTTAACACTTATATTTAGAATACAAGTACCATCAACTACATATACAATATCCTTTCTGGCTTGTTAGTGGTAATGAAGTACTGTATTTAGTGCCACCAAGCAGAGCATTTAGTGCTAACCTAGGGGATATGGAAAGACAGCATTAAAACTGTGACTTAGAATTATTGAAGGTAACATTTTTTTTAGTGACCTCAAACACCTAATTACTAGGTACTTGGACATACCTAGATTTAATGCTAAGTTGCTAACAAACTGTTTTGTTACTTGCTGTTTAAAAGACACTTGTGATCACATGAGTATAATCAACCGTAATCAGTTCACTCTAAATATTATACAAACTGAAATGTCCTATATATTGGCACATGCCTACCTAGTAAAAACCCTGTGAAACGAAACATGCAGGCATGCTGTGGCAGTAAATTTGCAAAAAATCTTTTCACCTGTGAGTTTTCGTCTGAGCTCTTGGAAGACTTGAGAGAGAGTTGTCGTAGCTGATCCTGCAGTGAAGCAAGCTTGTCGGCATGGCGCCTCTCAAGAGCCAGGAGTTCATCCTTGTGATGCTTCTCAACCTTTTCGAGGCTTTTCTGGTACTTCAGGAGCTTCACTTTTAGCTTGGATTCCTTCTCAGTAAACGTGGCTACTTGCTGATTCAACTCAGTTTCTTTACTGTGAAGGTCTGCTTTCAGCTTTTCCACAACCTTGAAAAATAAAAGTTTACACTAAATGTAACTAAAGATACAGAGGAAATAGATCACAAATGACGATAGCAACTTTAAAGATCTGCTGCAAGTCAATGTAGAAAGCCACTGACCTCAATCAAATCCTAGTGCCCGTCTGTTTTTCTTTTACAGTAATTGACAACAGGATTGGAATATTTTTTAGTTTAAAACAACCATAGTGCTGTGCTATATGCATTTGTAAGAGAGATGAGAGTACATGAAAAGCATGGGTGTACTGTCCCAGGATGAATATCTGGGTAACTTAAAATATATACTCTTCCCCCAAACAATTCAAGTCACCTCCGTTGTGGACAGAGCATACATCCATGACACACATAATGTGGCGACATTGTGTGACCTATAGTGGCACCAACCACATGACCCGTAGCCACCAACATTTACCGGGTCCAGAAACATATTTTATGTATGATGATTTTGTCAGGTATATCCAAATCTTCTTATATATGCACATCATCAAACTGTTTTCCACGGAGGTCAAAACATTGGCAAATCGTTTCCTCAACAAAATATAAACACTGAAATGTGCCAAATACGGTAATAAAAGTATAAGTTGAAAAACACTTGAAGAATAAGAAAAAAGAAATAAAAAAAGGCAGAACCCTACTTATAAAGGCGTTTCCTTGGTATGAAAATACTAAAGTTATGTGAAACCGCGGGAAAGAGATTCTATCCCACTTAAAGTCAGTTCTGATGCTGAAAACGAACCAAAGTTGGGAACTTCTAAATACACAATCTGTGGTTTATTTTTTTACTGTAAGCATTTTCTCAGAGATTTCTCAATGTTGAGTGCAAACCGAGGACAGTTTATTTTGGAAGAAAATATTATGGTTCAATTTACTTAAGTGTTTGTTATTGATGCTGCAACCTTCAAGTAGGAGGGGGGGGGGCAAGAACTTTCTTAACCTTAGTGAAAAGGCTGGGAGGCATCAAACTTAAACCTAGTGGTTTATCCAAGTGACAGTTGCTGAAGCCCCAACATAAAATGGCTGGATCGGTTAACTGCTAAATGTTCTTAAAAGCTTTGTGCACCATTTTAGGAATTAGTAATGAACAAAATTCATCTGACAAAGTGTTATAGCGCTGCACTGGCATCAAAGCCATTGATGAAGCTCTACAGCCAGATAATGTACTGTGCGGTACACACCATACTAAAAGGTGTGTTGTGTACCTGAAGAGAACACAATTTTACAATTATTTTGGCCCTTATATTTTTTATACACACATAGATACGTAAAACCCTTTATTTTCGCGGCCCCTATTTTTCGCGAATCGGTCACAGATGACATAATCGCGAACACTAAATTTCGCGAATTCCAGACGCCTGCATTGAAAATCTTAAGAACCGAAATTTTCGCGCGCCCTTAAATTTCGCGAATTCTTCAATTCGTGAAATTCGCGAAAATTGAGGGCTCGCGGACATTAAGGGTTTTACAGTATATGAAACTGATTTTATATATGACAATTAAAGGGACACTGACAGGGTATTTATGCTCGCCGAGGTTTTTAGTTGTACGTGACATATGAGAGCTCAACTACCCAGAACAGAATTTGCGCCTCGAAATTCGGTTTCTTTCCGCCCGAAAACCGCCGATCAAGAATTGGCCGGCTCGAGTCTCGCTCACTCTCTTTTTCGCGGTCACGGGCCGTTTTCTAAGGTATCGATGCGACCACCAAATTTAATCAAAGTCGTGGGTCACTGAAGGCACACACTCAATATTAAAAATAGAAAAAAATATGAAACCCATTTTTTGTGGCTTCTAAAAGGCTGTAATTACGTTGATTGAAAAAAAAAGTTCCACAGACAACCGGAAGCATTCTGTGCGTTCGTCATTTTGCGTATCGTGGGACTCGCGGGGACGGCGATGGCAGCGGACGACGGGCGTGGGACCTCTATTTCAGAACTGTCGTTCGCGGTACCGGCGAATCCTGTCTACCGTTAAAAGAGAAATTTGGGACTGATCAAAAGTATTGGTATTCACCCCGTACGACACGCCCGGCCACCAAGCCGATTTGCACGAAGACGTCGCCGAGCCGTCGCTCCCTTCTCGTGGCTGAAGACAGCGCTCGCGCAAACGTCAAGCACGACGTGTCTACTTCGAGTTGAATATGCACGCGTACGATTTCTTTACTAGATGCGGATGTCCCCAAAGCGTGGTGCTTCCCGACTTCGACCCAAGAGTGCTTTTGCTAGAGAAAAATCGACAGCAAACTTTCCAATTTACAGTTTACCGGCGGAATTATTACTAAGGAAAGAGATCCACCAGAAACCAGATGCCCCAGTAGCTCAGTGGGAAAGACGTCCGCTTCACACGCGGTGGACCGAGTTCAATCCCCCGTGAATTTTTTTTTTTTTTTTCCAATCATTTTTCGATGTTTACATATCTTTTTCTTTTTTTTACAATCATCACTGAAGAAACGAACAAAAAAATAACAAACAGATATTGTGGACGATACTTCGCTGAATTAAACGGTATGGGATTTCCGTTTTGACACCTGCGAACTCAATGTAATCACTTTCCACAAAATGCAAGGAGCATATAAATCAGGTAGCGTCCGCTTTCCGAGGTGCCCGTAAATGTTCTACAGGAATTGCAGCCAGCCATTGGTCCCGATCCCGTTGATCTTTCGGAAACTCTGTCGCACAATGCCACTTTTTTTCGGATGCAAAACATGTGAGCCAGCTCTTCACGCAACATCTTGGGTGTATTCTTTTCGGAGCCGATCATGGAAATTCACCACGGGCACTCACTACTCATCTCGAACTCCTCAATGTACAAAACAACTCATCTTGGAGTACAGAACAACGAGCGGAACAAACATAACTGCAAAAGAATCGCTCGGCAAGCAGTTCCCGCACGCCGCATTGCACGCCGCATGTCGTGTCGTCTGCTACCGGAGAGGAGAAAAAAAAAACAAAAAAAAAACCGCACGGTCGGGTGTAGCCACGTGACTTCCGCCAGTCACTCTCTTCTCTCCACTTCTCCGACCTCCGTCGGGTTTCAGTTTCGAGCAGTTGCGTCTTTTGGCTTTATTAAAGAAATATGCTACTCTGTTGCAAAATATTAATTCGGTAGTCCTCCGAGACCATAATGAAGCGCCTGGCAAAAAATAAAAAAAATTTTTTGGGGGGTGTCAGTGTCCCTTTAAGCCATAGCATAATTATTTCCCCTACAATACAACATAAGTTTATCTGGTCTGGCATCTCCATTTTTCCAACTTTTGTTAAAGCTTTGGAAGCATAAAAAGCTACCGAACCTAATGCCTGGTTCAAACAGTTGCATTGGTTCCATTCAGGGTAAACGATATGACAGCAATCACAAAGTCACTGGGACAAGACTTAGCAGTACACAATGTCACAAAAAGTAGCTCTTCAAAAAGCAATCATGAGCCATGGTTTTCGTTGTCACCATAGTTTTAGTTGCCGTGGATGCAGCCGACAAAAATGTGTGAACTGGCAAGGAAAAGTTGAGCTAGTTGGTGGTTCATAAATTGGGCCAAACCAGCTGAACATACAATTACAACCATTGATTGTATGAATGGTTGTAATTGTATGTTCAGCTGGTTTCGCCCAAATTGCAAAGTGTGAACCGGCATAAGGTTTCGATGTTGAACTACGCGTTTTAGATTCGGGAAACGTGTCTATCACTTTTAATAGCTGTATCAGTCATATAACGAACCCAGGGGCATAGCCCGGAGGGTTGGGGGCTTTTCTTTTCTCCGAAATCCAGCAGACCCAATAATATACAGATGCACTTTGACCCCCCCTTCCCCCTCTCCACATCCCCAAGTCATGGACATCCCAGCCACCTTAGACTCCCCCCCCCCCCCCCCCCTAAAAAAGTTTGGGGCTCCAGTCCACGCTGTGAAGGTGGTTAGTCAGCGAAGCTGTGGTATCACCTGCAACGATTGCCTACTGCACTATACGAAATGCCGCCACTGGTCGCAGCACGCCGCCACTGGTCGTATTGCCGTTTCTTTTCCCTTTGCGACTCCTAGTATTCACGCTGCTCCTCGGCAGTCCTAACTATGCGTGGCCTATTCATCGCGGTGCCGCAGCAACAATGAAATCAGTTGCTATACTCCGTTTCATCTTACGTTTAAGTGCAGCGGCCATCGGAGCCAATCGGAGGCCGTGTGAGTGTCACGTGACCTTAGAGAGGGGGCACAGCGACGCGCGGAAAGCGTATCACAGGCCATGTCCACAGAACGGGACTGGCTAAGATAGCTTGTAGCATCTACTGTGTCCGGACGTAAGGTGAAACGGGGTATAGGCGGGTTCTTTTATATATGAAAGGCTAGTGACTTCACTCCCCACGTCGCAAGCTGCCGTCGCCGCGGCGGCTTGGGCAACAGTAATCTTCACCGGGAACATATGTGGTGAGCGCTACGAGCTTCGCATTGTTTTCAGGAGCTCCTTATCATTCATTATATGGTTAGGATGCTCGTTTTCTGCTTATTCTTTATTGAAACGAATGTTGTGCTCTATATTGTATGCATGGTGTCTGTACTTTTCGCTTCAATCTTCTGAAGTATTTTCTTCCGTGAGAACACCGACACGAAAACACACGCGGGGAGAAGGAACATGCTTCGCATTGTTCGCAAGGGCGATTATCATCCATTACACGATTTGCACTTCACACGAGGGCTTCGAATGACATCAACCCTTTTCGAAGCAGCTGCAAACCTAATCTTTACCGGAACACGTGGGAGGGTGTTCCTATTGTTCACACGTGCCTTATCATCCATCATGTGGTTTTGATGCTTGTTTTGTGGTTTTCTTTATTGAAACGGATACTGAGCTGTATGCTGTATGCCTGATTTCAAAGGAGATATGCCGTTTTGCCTTCAATTGTTTGCCAGGACGTTTTTGCTTACAATGCCAACAGCACGAAAATTTCCTTGGCTTGTAGAGGTATACAGCTTCGCTGTAAAAATTCCTGGCTACGCCGCTGGACAAACTTTATCAACCTCAAAGACAACGCAACCAGGTAATTAGATTTGTTTTTTTGTGCTTATCACTGATAAGGAAACCTGTTATACCTTCTGAATGCATGGTGTAACAGTGCATCACGTCAAAACCACTACTGTCTAAGCGACAGACTACAGAAAAAGCTTGAAGTAAATTTCGAGGCTTTGTCACTCTACCTGTCTTAGATGATGTAAGCTGTGTTTTTCGTTTTCTTTGTTGCTGGCCATCATGTTCTCTTGAAGCCTCTTCAGCAAGGAAGCGTGCTCTGCATTTAATTTGTCCCGTTCTTGCTGAATGGCCTGGAAAGATCGAAATGAAAAGACACTCAGTGTGGCATTGCATACACTGATCACCACTCACGACTGAATGGGATGTTATCCCTTTGTTCAATTTAAAATATTCCTAGCCCCACTTGAGATCTCCATATCAGACATGTTATAAAGCAGTTTTGTTCTTATTGTTTGTAATAACAGCTACTATTAAACCTTTCAAACACTATGTTCACAAATGTGAACATTTGGGGAATATATTGTATATTGTCACGGGTGGTGACCAAAAAAACAATAAATAAACAGGAAGAAATAAACGTTTAATGTGGCAAACTTGTGCCAAAAATAAAAGGGTACAAAAGATAATAACAGAGCGTCGCGGGCGTCGAAGTCGGCGTAGCAGCAGAGTCGAACGCTGGGGCGAAAACTGAAAGCAGATTGCCACGCGGAGCCCCTTATGTACACGTGTGGGCTTCTGGAATAATCGGCGTAGAAGGTTCGGCGTGTAGAACATTCTGACCTCGAACAAGCAACATGGTTCTCGAATTTACCAGAACATTACTTTACAGAGTCAACAAAAGTGTGCCTCCGCGGCCAGAAATAGAACCCTGGCTTTCAGCGTGGAAAGCAAGCGCGATAACCGTTAGACCACGCGTGCGCTGCCTACTTGGCCAGCTGCACGCGCGGCAATATTGAGTCATTTTAATCATTTTAGTGAAATTCTCTACTCTATGTCTGGCAACCAAAATTTGTAAAAAATTTTTTTTTTTTTTAATAACTGGTTAGCAGTGTTTGAAAGGGTTATGTATCTGTACAATTTGAGGCAAGAAAGGGGGCCATACCTATTCAAAAATTATATAAGCCCTGTCACCTTTCAGAAAAATATTCCCTGTGACTTCAGCGTGCGAAAGTAGGTGTTGGTTTCAAAAATTATTCATATGCACCAAGAAACAGGCATGAGAGAGCGAATTCAACATTTTATGCATCTCCAAATTCAAGCTACCCTATGAACCACCTAGCCCAGTTAACAGCTTTGCTGCAACTGAAAGCTGTGCCTTCCTCCTAGTAATGGCATTTGACTCTTGTTCTTTTGGATGAACCAAGGTGAAAGCAGTCTCAGGTAACCCCCTAACCTTGCCACAGGTGCCCGGTTAGGGTCTTGGCAACCTCATCTAGTCTAGCGATAGACCAATTTCACAGGCTATTTCACCAAACCATCACAGGGTCGCCAAGGATTTACTACTAGCTGTCTTTCAAACTGCCTCAAAATGAGCACTGTATAGGCTCACATGTAAATTTCTTTTTCTGACAGGGCATGATCACATGCATTAGAGTTTAGAAGTGTCAAAGACATGGACAAGCAAGCTGTTGTAAAAATCTTTAAGCGGCGGTATAACTCTTAAAAAAAAAAACACCAGACAGACACAAAGAGAAGACCTGACAATGCTGCTGTATAAGTGGTCTAGTTTCCTGCATTACCTTGACAATCTCCTGCTGGAACTCCTTCCTGAGGTCCTTTTCTTTGTCGGCCACTTCGCGTTGTTTCTCTGCATCATACTCGTCCTTCACCGCTGTCATCTCTTGCTGGAACTGTTCCTGGAACTGCTTCATCATCTCGTCCTCCCACCTGCGATGCACTGCAACGAGAATCATCCTTCAATACACACTCCCACTTAAGGGGGACATTACCCAGAAAAAACAATTTCTGCAAAAAGAAGTTGATTTAAAAAAAATGCCATATTTACATTCACCAACATCTAGAGATATTCCCTGAAAGTTTCATTAGTTTACACTGCATGTTTTATAAATTATTTTTGGTCCATCGATGCTAAAAAAAAGGTAGGGGTTGGAGCACTTTGAATGCATTTTTCTCCATTCCACTTTTCAGCATCAAATTCGCTATCTATTACACAATAGAGAATTATTCTTAGGTGGTTTTCAGGGGTAGAATTTTGTGAGGAACATGCCTGGCTGGTTAGTTTTTCTTCTTTAACATTGTTTAATGCTAAAAGAACTATATTTGTAAGAAAGGACAGACATGAAAAAAAATTTTAATCTTCGTATGGAGTTATACTTATGCAAAACAATGCAATATAGCAAAATAACTAGCTAGGTATGTGCTATGGGTATTCCTATGACTGCATTACACATAAAAATCACGAATTTTTATTTTATTTCAGAATGAACACATTGACCTTCATATTGTAACATTTGTAACAAGTTTTAGAATCGACATCGGACAATGAAATTTGGCAGGGATGGTCTTGCCACTCATATAAACTTCCACTGCAAATTTGATTGAAATCAAGCAAGCGGCACAAAAGTTGACTTTTCTGGGTAGTGTCCCCGCTTAACAATGGCATTCTTTTATATGCATAGCCTTACACTCGTTATTATTACTATACAAAATCGACTCGCCGAGGCTTACTTACTTACTTACTTACCCACGTAATTAACCCGCCCCCTTTTTCAGCAAAACTGAAGCTATTTTTTGGAGGTGCAACAATTATGTCGTGGGTAAAAAAAAAGAGGCAAAGTTCTTGTAAAAACGAAATGCAGAAAACAGTGGTGCAAATAGTGGCGTTTCCTCTGATGATGTCATTAGGGTGATTAGCTTTGACTATTATCAGTCTATAGCACAGGACTAGTATGCGGTGTAACAGACCTCTGCACAAACCACCGGTTCTTCATTAACCATTTCACCCTTAATATTAAGTTCAGTGTCAGAAAATTTCTAACCTTGCAGTTCTACTTTTCCTACACCTCTGAGAAATATTACTTTTCTATAATCCATTCATCCCCCAAGCTGACAGCGCAGTGGGAGCTACACGCTCTCCAGACCGACCAACCGCCTCCCATTGATCACCCGACCCCGCTGAGCAGAAGCTTAATCCTGATGGGTGGGAGTGCGAACCTGCGGAGAAAGCTGGACGTATAGCTGGTCCAACGAGAATGTAGCTTTTACCATACTGTCAGTTTAGGGGTGAACAAAGTATACACCCACGTCCATTCACATGAGACATCATTGTTTGTTGACAAGGAAATTCTTTTCTGCAAGTGTCAACGAAAACGCTTTCTCCTAAAAAGCACTCCCCAAAAAAACACATGGTTAAAAGCAACATTCTGGGAGTTCCCCCGATTTTCTTTTTCAGGTTTTTGTCTTGCCGCGGTATCGCTAGCTTCAACCAAATGGGGCGACAATCGGAATATTGAAACATGGCTCATGCGATGACAACTTTAGCTCACTTCTTCACTGCTGCTACTTGAACCGACACATTGCGTGTGCAACTCGTGAATGTTACCACGGAGAACAACCAGACCTTTCCGAAGTACTTCTTTAAACTCGGCTTGTAGCCTCTCCTCGGTTTCCCTCGCCAAGGTCTCCCGTTCAGACAGGAGTTCCGTGATCCTGGCCTCGAGCGTCCTCTTCTCTTCACAAGACCGCACATACAGTTCTTTGATGTCGTTGATGGTTTGCTGCAGGGTACTGTAACTCGTGCTGAAGAGGAGACGATACAATCAAGACCCATTTTGGGGCACTGCAGACAGCCTAATGAGACGTGTCCTCAAGAAGAGAACTCGCACCGGCATCTCAGCTTTTATAGTAACATTAAAATACACGGCTAGTATGTTCTCCGCATATATAAAATTTACATTTCAGCGAACTTTATGTATTACAATTGCCACGATCACGGGAATTTAGGCCAACCTGCCTACAAAAACTGGTCTGCTCCTTCCCACGAAACATGTAGAGAGCCAATCACAGCGATCCATGAAAGAAGCTTAGCAAATGCCAATAGGCCTGTTGCAAAATGTACAGCACCACGATGGCAAGGGATTTCGGGAACCCCGGTACAGATCACGTGCTTTCTCATTGTGCCTCCCCGACCGCATGAGTCACGGCTGCTGCCGCCATCAGCTGTTGCAGCCGTCCGCCATCCTGCCCATTTACCATTGGCGGTGTACTGTATCTGTGGCAGCGTAAAAGCATTGCGACAGGTGCAGCTATTCACTTATTTTAATACATTATTCGCCGTAACAATTACCTTCACATCTTCCAGTGTCACCGAATCCACTTATTTTGCACGCAACCGTGGCAGGGTTCAACTAGGTTCAACAAAGCGTCTATGCAGAGGAGAGGAATGAGAAAGGGGCAGCCTCGCAAGATAGCCAATGCGACACCCTCTTCCCCATTTCCGTGCGCTTGTCGTTCGACCGACTCGGCTGCTCAAACATTGTTGTGTTGATAACCTGCGCCTGCTCGCGTATGTTACATGGTAGCGGGAAAAAAGACGATGGGAGGGGCGTACCGAGGACTCCCATTATTCGTTGCATGGCGCGCACAGGCTTTTGGGATTTTTGCAAAGGGTCTATTGCAATAAAACGTTTGGACTACCAAAGTATGATGCCATAAAGTTTAGGAGATGTTAAAGGAAATGTTATGCTTCGTATCCAAATACAGACCACATTTTTAGTGCCAAATTTAACCTTGTTTCGCTTTTGCTGGGCCCTTTCACCAATTGAAATGACTGGCTCTCTGCATAGTTTGATCAGAACTAGGTCCCATTTTTTATGCAAATGTCGAACCACATTGGATATATGATAAGCGATACTTATATGAGGCTGATATCTTAAATAGAGCATACCTGAGATCCTGAATCTTCATTTCACAGTCTCTCTTGACTTGAGCCTTTTCTTGCTCGGACAGTGAGAGCAGCTCTTCCCTAAGCCTTCTCATCGCACCATGGTGCATCTCGAGAATAGAGTTCTTACACCTGAGTGGAAACAGGCAAGTGTAAGATCAATACAAACTGCTTACCATTGAGACATAGCACTAAAATTAATTTAAAAGTTCAAATATATTCACTACTACAGTAGGACTGGCATAAAATGAAGTACTCATACAATAACTAAGGAAAACAAATGCCACTAAGTAGAAACACACTCGATACTCAACACAGCCATGAAGTCAGGGCACTGCATGGGTAACTAATACATACACTTCGACAGCTTGCATTTTTTCTTCCCCGCAAGACTTTAGTATCGCGTCCTTTTCGAGCGTTAGGATCCTTTCCCGCTGCTTTATTTCCTGGTAGGCGGTTTCAGTGCGAAGCAGTTTCTCTTCAAGGAGCTGTAAACAAACCACCTTGCAGTTAGTTTCCATACAATTTCGACAAGCGGAGGGAGCACCCGACGGGAAAATTACCCGGACTTGTCTCTGGAGTTCGTCTCTCAGCTCCTGGAACTGGGACTCTGTCTCCGAGCCGTCCCGGACCTGCAGCTTGTCTTGGAGCAGGGCCACCTCATTCTTTGCGAACAAAGCGTGGGACACGGTCTAAGTCATAGTGGTCATTGTACAGCACACATACAGTATTTTATGGACTACAGTCTGCCTTCGGTGGACAGCCTGCAGGAGTAAATATCGGGTGGAAAAAAAAAAGCTTTTCCTTGGATAGTTTGCACCCGGCGGATAGTTCACACCTGGTGCGTAGACCGCACATAGAAAAGTCTCATACACAGTACACCTTGACAAATGCCTAGCTCACAAGAAAGCTTGCATCATACATAAACCATCACTAATTCTGTCATTCATCAAATCCTCTGCATCTCCTGGTACTGAACAATCTACAAGAAACAAATCCTTGTATCGTCTGCACTGCATAAAACTTCCAACTTTTAGACATGTATAGTTTGCAGACTATATTCCGGAAAATATGGTACTGATCTCGGGATGTTTGTAGAACAAAAATTAAGGCTGCGGCTTTGAGGGTCGAAGATGGATGCATATTTTCAATAAAAGTAAAAGTAACATTTGACAGAGACATTGATAGTATACTTATTTCCAACTAATGGGAGTTGCATGATGACACAGCCAAACATGCTGCATGTAACTGTATCGCTAAGGAGGTTCTGCAGAAGAAAATCATGCACCAAATGCCCTTCACTAAAGGAAGGTTAGCTACCAACCTCGGACATTTGCGATTTCCTCCGAAGCGTATCGAGCTCTTGATGCGCAGCAGAAAGTGCTTCTTGTGCCCTGTTCACTTCCAACCTAAGGCGGCTGACTTCTTGGCAGCATGATTTGATTTTTGCAGCGACGTTCCCGTGATCATCTTCTTGTGCCAAGTCGCCATTGCTGTGAAGACATGCACAAATTTTTGCAATGCTTCAAGAGCTGTCTACCGAAGATTGTACATTTTGCCAATCTCCTAAGACATATTCAACACGGAAGGAAATGCGTGTCACGGTAACACTTGCATGCAGTTTCACTATAGGTGAGTTCTGGAGCAAAAATGAGCTGTAGGATCACCTTTTTGGAAACTCCGAGTTGTATGCAGACCAAGTGGTTTTTGGCAGCAGAACTTTGAATAGGCAGTCAAGTTCCCTCTGAGAAGAAAAAAAATTATGCAGGCTAGATCAAGCTGGCAAAGTCCAGAGAGCACAGAACGCGTCCTCCATGTGTCGTTAGTGTTAGGTTTTTTCATCTTTAAAATAGAAACATAGACCCAGTAGCTCTAGGGTTATTGGGAGCATGCAAAAAGACAGTAGCGCCACAGTGTGGCTCTTGGACAAAGCATTCTGCATAATCCACGGCCGGACTGGCATAGACATCTACCATAGCAGTCAACCTTAGTTTATAATTAATGTCGGCTTACCCGAGCACAGCACCATACAAAACGTTGGGGGGCACAGTCGGCGCTAACTTCTTTTTTTTTACTCAAGCCCCAGAAATTGAGAACACAGATCCTCTCGTGATGATAAAGCAAAGGTGCGAGCTGGACAAGAATGTTCCCCTTTTCCAGAGACTATTTTCGTCAATGGATCCCCTTCATGCGACAGCGAAAAGCACAGCAATCATCTCGATCCCAGCACATCTACTCGATCCGCTGGCGAGTGAAGAGAAATCCGATAATAAGAGGGACGGAAAGCACTCGTCATGCAGATTTTGACAATTACTGGCACTGGCAAATGTTGTCCCATAGTATTTTCCAGACCGTCGAACACGCAAACATTTCGTAGGGGTGTCCTCCAGTGCAGATAAACGAAAACCAGGGCAGTACATTGATGGCGTTGCCGCTCGTAACTGCGGAACACATGATCGAACGCAAGCTCCAAGCAATTCCTGCGAATCGAATCGCGTAAAACACGAGCAGGGCAATCCTGGACGGGGGTATAGGTTTAGAATGTCAAGGTGCCAAATCTTTACTCCGGAATTAGGTTGAGAAACATGGCTGCGAAAAGGCGCAAATGCGGCAAAGACGCTGCGAGCGCATCAGAATGGGACAGAGAGGGCAGCGCTTCACTATGTGGCGTAACGTGAACGCTGCCACCGGTGGCGCTGCCAACCAACTGCCAAGGCGGAGTGCTGCGCCCCCTATAGGCATCGCAAACTCCCAATAGCATTGACTGCCACCGCACCAACCCAGGTTCAAGCCCTGTTGGGAGCTCGAACTTTATGAACTTTATATATAGTTTTAATGACTGTAACACTCCTAGCGTGTCGCTCATTTCAAGAGGCTCGTTCGTGACAATTTCTTCATAGAAAACGCCGTGTAAAACATATTCTGTGTTGAAAAATTTCCCCTTTGCCGTACTAGCGTGGCAAAGGAAGTGGTAACGCAGAATGTGATGTATTAGTGGACAAATTGTGTACACATGTGGAGACTGGATGGCACAAAGCAGCTTTGTGTGATGCAAAGTAAGCATGCGAGCGCCTCGTGGACGTTTTACTTAGGGACGCTGTCGTCCGCAGTTGCGGTATAAATGCGACTTTCTCGGGGCCTGTTGGAGCATGAGACACAGTAGATGGAGCGTGCGGAAAACAAAACAATTGGAACGCGGCTGCGTCGAGCAGAACCTTGGCACCAGCTCGCAGCAAAAGAGAACCAAACACTCGGAGCTACCTCGACCTACTGCGAAAAGGGAGTCTGCTTCTTTACTTTTCTGTCTCTCTTTCTTGCGCTCTTTCTCTGTGGAAGCCAGCAGCAAGCTCGTTTGACGGAGCAGAGCAGCACTGTATGTCTGAACACGTGATGCTTTACCCCTGCCAAGAGCAACACGAAGGCACTCGAGGGAGAGGTTCGGCTGGCACTGGTGTCCAACCAGTGAGGAGACAAGCGCACTGCATCAGCGTTCGGCTGGCAGTCGGCCTGCCGACTTCTGTTGCTGGCACCGAACTGGATATGGTTAGGTGCCAGCCATATAACACATTTTGCGTTAAAAACAGGAAGAACCGATTGGAGAAGTCGGCAAGTATGCAACGCTCGTGGGATTTTTCTAATTACGCACGACTTGTGTAAGCCTCAATTTAGAAATAAGCGGCGAAAGCGTGGCCACAAAACATAGGCAGAAGCCCCGTCATTTTAAAAATTGGCTGTGTTCATGTCCACTGTCTATACTCGTGCCTTAGGCTTGTAAACATTATGGAAATCTACAAGAAAGTAAAATTCGTTATACAGTTGCTTCTACAGCCTAGAAATGGCATCTTATGTGACTGCTATGAAAAGGCAAGTCTTTAGTGTGCATCAGGCAGTAGTGATTACATGAGCACATGCCACTACAATACTCGCATAAATGAAAAATGGACTTAGGACATCAGACTACAGGGTGAGCTTTCATTCTATACGCTGTTGTGATGCAGCGTATTACCACATTGGGCTATCAAACAGCTCTCTAAACAAGTGCTATTCCTTATGATTTTGTTTCATAAAGTTTGCCTAAATTGTTGGTGGGAATATGTTTGTGAAAATAAACTATAGGTGTGTAAATAGGAAACATAATGAGTTGATCCATAATCTGTTAGTACTGTGTCATCATTTAAAGTAATATAAATCTTTTTGCAAAGAGCACTACTTCTGTGGGTAACAAAAATTAGTTTCTATACACAGTGTGTTTCACTAACAACTGTAAGTCAATTTTAAAAAAGGACACTTGAAATAAATAAACGATTCCTTCAGTATATGTTTTCGACCATGACTAATGTCAGGTTACCGGTGTAAAATGATAATAAGCAAATGAACTACCTAAAGCCCACTAGCTCACCAGACACATTCCTATTGAAGATGTGTTGCCTGCTGTCAAAATATTATAGTATAGCTGTTGTCATAATTTAGACAACTGAATTCTACCTCCATGCTATTCACTTATAAATTCAAACCACAAGGAAATGAAATACTAAAACTAGATGCGAAGGCGGCGACGGAAGTCAGAAGCAACATCAACCTCCGTAGAGGATAGCGAGTCATCACGAGCCAATGACAGAAGCATTACCTAAGGGTCACAAGGTTGTAGAAAAGGCATGCCACACTCTGCTGTCTCCACGGGCGCACAGCTATCGACGCATTTTTCCATCAAGTTTTGGTATGGCGGACTCTAGCCAGACGAAGCTCGCCAGAGATAAGAGCTATTATACACCCTTTTTGAACATGATGCGCAAACATGATGTTATAATGGCCCTCAATGTAGGACGCCAGAACACCAACCTCAAGTAGTGTGAATTTTTGGCACTCTATCATCCTTTCTTGCTGCAGCACTCGGAACTGGCTTAGCAGGTGGTCAGTGTCCTTGGGTGCACCTGTGAAAGATTAAACTCCACCTTTCAACTTTTCTTCAAAAGCAAGTATTCGAGTAGCAAAGGAGCAGCTTACACAGATACTACAGCAAGGTGTCCGTCTAAATTGAGCATCTAGGAGAGTGTTTATTGGTACAACTTCGTAGGCGGCATAAAACTTGTAACCATGAACGAAAGAGGGTTTAGGTCACTGTCAAGAAAGCGCTAATGCCACTACCAGCTTGCAATACAACAAAACAGAAAAAAAAACAAAAAAAAAACTGGGAAATAGATTATGCAGAGTGGAACAGGGATCTGAAGTAGATATGGGAGTTCTAGTAGATATTATTTTTCGAGACAACAAAACTCTTTGGTTTCTCATTGTCCAAAAGAAGGGCAGCTGTTTGAAACACTGCACCATAATTAACATTGAACCACTTCTGCTTTGCAAGGTCTCTCTCTCTTGCCTATTTGTGAATACTAATAACTAATGAGCATCACCACCCACCATTTTCCAAGAACAGTTGACACTGTTTTTGGCTTTTGTTGAGAGACTCTGTCAGCTGGTTTATGACGCTTGCCTTCTCTAAGAGCTGTGCTTCAAACCATTTTTCTCGCTCACTGGTACGCTCCTTGCAGGCTTGCACCTCTGCCATCTGGACATAACAGAAATAATTAGGTTTGTCACCATAGCAGCTTGCATCGGTGCTAGACAACTACCATTACAGCCAGCTTCTTTTTCCAAGAGCATTTCTTCAAAGATATGGGTATAGCCCTCACAATTTCTATGGCACGGTTTCAGCATTTCATTTGAACAAACTTGGCACCAACGTCTACAGAAGTTTTGTAGAAAAGTAGTCTTTATAAACGGGTGAAAGTTACGAGCAACAAAACATACTGTACTGTATTAATGGTAATACAGGATTTACCGCTATGGCAAAAGGGTCGCAAGCTCTAAATCGTGTAGCCAGAGAGAAGTTTTGCCGCTTGAGGCACTTTGAAAGACCCATGTAGCTCGAGTAAATTTGGAAGCAAAACTCCGGCTACCTTCGCAGACAGCTGCTGATTGAGCTCGGCAATTTGCTGGTTTAGGTCGTACAGTTCTGTGTGGTGCTTCTGTTTCAGGGTCTGGAGCAGTTTCTCGTAGTCCCGCTTCATAAGCACAATGCCGTCCGAACTGCTCAGCTCAGAAATCTGCTCCTGGAGCATCCTGATGGTCGACTCTGCCACCCTGATCTTTTGCAGGTTCTTGCCAAACAGAGAAAGCATAAAATTAGCAAGAATGTTTTGCCGCCACAACCAGTGTAAAGAAATCTAGAAAGTTACAAACGAGGCACTATACTAACCTCCTGATTGAGCTTAGTCTCAATTTCGAGCTGGCTCTCAAGAGTGACTACCTTGACTGAGAGACTGGTAGTTTCACTGGCTTTTTCTGCAAGTGCTTGGCGTGCTTGGTTGAAGTTATCCGCCAGAAGCTTTTCCTGGGCTGCAAGATAATCATGAAAAAAAGTGAACAAATACAGGCACAGCTGCTGGCTAATGAATGCAAGTGAACCTCCCGTAGTAAGAGTTCGAAGATCCCAAAGTCATCACGACAATGTAACATTGGTGTAAAATTGAAAATCAATAAGAAGTAGCAGCCTTTTTCTAAGATATAAGGTATCAGGAAATAAGGCTTCCAAGTATGAAAAAATTATATATGGGTTTCTGTCCTTTTGGAGTCTATTTCAGGGGAATTCAGAGGGTGTTTTTTTCTGTTTGTTTTTTGCACAAAGTTGGAGTTTTTGCTCGCACTCATCTGAAGCACAACATTTTTCAGAATTAGTAGGTTTGTGGGCTCATACACTTACTTCAAAGAAAAAAAAAAAAAAAACACCCTCTGCCCCAGATAAGAAGGCATAGAGGAAATATTGCCACGCTCGTCAGCGAGCGACCGCGCGCGTGGCCGAGTGGTTACCGTGCTTGACTGTCGTGCAAAAAGTCTGGGTTCGATTCCAGTCAGTGGAATGCTCTTTTATTTGTTCTTTCATTGCGTTCTCGTGAGTTCGAGAACATTCTCGTCAGATCGAGTTCTGAATGTTCCAGTCGCCGAACAATCTAGGCCGATTGTTCCAGAACCCAACGCGCGTACATAAGGGACTCCGCGTGCTGATCTGCAGTCAGTTTTCGCCCAGCGTTCGACTCTGCTGCTACGCCGATTTTGACGCCCGCGACGCTCCGTTATTATCTTTTGTACCCTTTTGTTTTTTGGCACAAGTTCGCCACATTAAACGTATATTTCTTTCTGTTTATTTATTGTTTATTGGCCACCACCCGTGACAATATGCACATTTAGTATATTGATTTGTCAATGGTGCTGCAATATTTTAGTTTCATGCCATGTAATGCAAGCTAACAATTTAAGCTTTCCATAAAAGTGTATGAGGGCACATGCATTGCTGTGTTTGTGTGTTATGCAAGCGTGCTTTCTGGCCGACCGCAATTGCGTGCGAGCGCTGGCTGGACTGTGATTTACCACATGTGGACTGTGATTTCTGTAAACAGTGGAAACGTCTACAGTGCCTTCTGGGGTCTAGAAAAGCCATTTTCTGGACATCTAAGGTTAATATTTTGAGATAACCCCCCCTACACCCCAAAAATTTGTTTTGGGATGTCGCTGCTCATCATCATAACAAACTATATCACTAGTCTGCTTGCATCATGTGAATGTTGGCTGGCTGAGACACTACTATCATCTTTTGTTACAAGTATCACATTTATAAAGTACTAATAAGACAAAAACAAAAGGAGCAAAAAATGAAAGTGAGGTTCTCAGAAGAATAGAAGCTGTTCTTTTGGAGCCAGAATCCTGAAACTTATAATTTTCCAGAACCATACAAAATATTCACTGGCAAGTGTTTACTAGACTTATTAATGTGTCTAAACATGGAGATCCACATGACAAGTAATGCATACCTTGTAAGGAGGCCAGCTGCGCATTCAAAGACGATATCTCGACCCTTGAAGATTGCTTGAGGCTTTCTAGTTCGGATGAAAGTTTCTCAACTTCCCTCAGGCGTGCCTTGTACATCACCTGGAGCTGAATGTAGTCGTCTGAAAAAAAAAAAAATGGATATAGATGAGCACCACAGTAAGAACACATTAGGTGACCAGTTTTTTTAACTGTTTCTCATGGTACAGAAGCATGCATACACTCAGACTGATGCCTCATGCCTATATAACTTGCCAAAAGCAAGTTGTTACATGTTTTAGGATTTCACACCACATCTGAAATTGAAAGTCCAAAAACAAATAAAATTGAGTGATGTAAACACCAAAGGACAGAGCAGTCCATTAAATTACTTGCCGACATAGATATAACGGCTGTATAGAAGAAGAAAAGAAGAAAACTAAACTTGGGTGATAATTTTATTTTAGAAGCCATTACTCTTAAAATATAGATATAATTGATGTATCACCTGGAAAGTAACACTCCACTCATCTGCTAGTATCCGCAGTGTAAGGATGATTCACACACTTGTGTTTGACAACAACCGACAGCACTACAACCAGTTTTTAAGCCTCTCCAGTCGTAAGCAGCGGCAAGTGTGTGAACCAGGCTCTAGGTTAATAAGGTTACATAAGAATAGTCAGCATTTCTGTCAAACACTGCACCACCCATTTGTTCGTTCAATCTGTTTACACAAGTTTGCCCATTCAGGTGTCAAAGACTCCATGATGACACACTTGGTTCACATAAACTTCAATGCGGTATAGTACCAAAATAAAGTGAAATCACCCGATCCTCCGTTTCTTGATAAAAAAAAAGTAATGAATGACAAAGTATGCTCAAACTTAACCCACAGCTTTTTTTTTTTTTTTTTTTTTATTTTAGCCTGCAAAAACTCAAGGTTGAGTGTAGTAGCATAAGTGTAAGGCTTGGAAGTCGCACAATAGTGCAACATACCAGACTGATGGGGTGCAGGTTCCTGGGGAAGCTGCTGCACAGCTGGCAAGTTGAATGGAACAGCAGGAGCCTTGTTCCCGACGTCACCGCCACCGCAGTAACTGTCAACTGCGTCTTGGCCGTATTCATCACTGGCTTGGAACGGGGTGCCCATGCCATTGGCAAAATCTCGTGCTGTGGGTTCGTGCAGTGCAACTCCGTTGCCATGAGCATGAGGCGACATGATGTAGCCGGGAGTCGTGAAATGAGGCCTAGCGTAATTCTGTAAAAATATATATGTATATATAATCTACATGTTTGTACACACACTAAGCTCCGGGCAACGAAATTGAGAGGCGGTCCTTCTTTCACAAGGCAACTTGTACTTGACAACATGCCTTTCTGCAGACAAGGCACTGAACTATTTTGTGTATCTCCTTTCATTTCCCTCTACGGTACTCAACACAGACTTTAATTTGAAAGCTTAAGTGCTGCTGGAATTACCCTATTTACTCGAGCAATAACCGTATTGTTTATAATCAGTCACATGTCAACTTTCTAGCAGAGTACCCGAATAGCCATTCACTGCGATCGGGTTAAGGGGCAAAGTGAGTGTCATGGGAGAGAATGTCCTCATGTGAAAATGCTAGCTGTGCTGTGAGAGGGAATCATGTGATATTTCATATGCCAAAGATTAGTTGAAATTGTGATTTGCTAGGTTTGTCATTTTTAGAGAAAGTTTTAGGTAAATGAAGTAAAAGGTTGTGCAAAGACCTCTTTTACTAAGAAAATTACTGTGAAAGGTCACTTAGATTAAAAAGAAAAGACTTTTTTCGATAACAAAAATGCTCATAGGCAGAGCGCTGAACAAGAAATGGTGGTCAACTATGGCATAAGTCCAATCGAGGTCTTTACGAAAGTACTTAGTAAAACTACCTGTGCTTGTGTGTTGGGTGTTGAAGTGGTGATGCCATAGCCCATCTGTGCTTGCTGTACATTGGGTGTGGAAGTGGTGACGCCATAGCCCACGTGTGGAGGCTTGAAATACCTGCATTAGCAGAAAGCATGTCATTTGCTGCAGAAGAATGATGAGAGTTTAAAGAAATGTGAGCAAAAGAGCTGTCATCAAATGGTACCAACAGCTATAAAACGCAACCAAACATTGTGACACTTTGAGATATAGCTTAGAAATGCATATTTGTAACTTGGGGTTTTCTAGCATGCTTAGTAGAGCGAGTTTGTACCATAAAAAAAACATAAAAAAAGCACTTTAGTGCAATTTTTAATTTATGTAACTTTCGCTAGGTGGCTCCTACAGGCACGGATGACCAGCTTTCAGCAATTTGTATTACTTTTATCCATGACCGTATTATTGTAAGGAATATGGGGTATTTGGCTCAGATGGGAATTGGCAGGTGCTGGCGGCACTAGAGTATTCATCAGTTGTTGGGAAAAGATGACAGAACCTGCAGTGCATGTGCAGATTGCTTTGTGGCATTTCAACTTGTTTATAAACAAGTACTCAAGCGATTAGTGTAAGTTCTCTAGATATCAAACTTATCCCTGCCACTTTTTAGGTAGCATGACCAGGAGCTTTTGCCCTCTTTCTGCCTTGGCCATGAGACTTACTGACAACACCACAGGGCAGTCACTTAGAGTTTGGGGCAACTTTTCCATGCTTTCTGTAAAATTTATATTTTAATTAATTGCCAACAACTGTACTAACTGATCAGTGGACAAGTCCTCATCCTCATCATCGGACAGCCCCAGAAGGTCGTCGAAACCATTTTCCACGGCTTCTTGGAGCTGAAGAACAAAAACATGACTTAGAACTGCCGGTGTCGACTCTTTCGAAATCCCAAGGAAGTACTCCAACAACTTCCTACATGCTTACTTCTTCCGCCTTTTTTCTCACTTCTGCAAGAGCTTCTTCTTCTTCATCCCCACGAGCAATGTCAAAGTTGAGGTCACTCGCTTCGTCCAATACGCTCAGCCCAGGTTCCACTGCAACGTGAAGAAAATTAAGGCGTCGAAGTGGAAGAGCAAGGTAACAACTTATACAACAGTCAAATGTCACGAGAATATAAAACAACAAAAAAAACAAAATACAGCTATTTAACTTAACAGCCTCCTCAGGTAGGTAAAATGGAAGATGGAAAATATCATGCACCCTAGTGTTTGACCGAGGTATCGGAATTTTTGTCTAGGAGTGCCGTTCGGGCGTAAATAAAAATTCATAAAAAAAAGCCAATAAATTGAGTGCAATTAAACTTTTCACAAGGGTGTCTTTAGGTGGTGCATTTATCAGATTCAAATTTCGTGAGTGTAGGTTTTTGGGAGAAAATGCAAGAGAAGAAAAACTTGTTATTTTCTTATGCGTGGGAGGAAAACGGAAGTAAAATGTCGGATTGGTGTCACTATCTACATGTGGCGCCACATAGTACAAAAACTTGAAAGCTTCTTAGAAATGAACACCAAGAGCAGATCTAGCAGATACGAGTGTGTGTGTGGTATGATATGCAAGTAGCAGCATCAACCAAATTATTTGCTACTGTCTTCATCCTGTCCACGCAAAAAAAAAAAAAAAAAAAAAAAAAGTTTTTTTTTTATTTTTTTTTTTAATCTGTGTTTCCACACTTTTGGTACAATAAATGCAACACCTAAAGACATATTTGTAAAAAGTTTAATTGGACTCTGTTAATTGGCCTATCTATATGATTTTTGTTTATGCTCAAATGGTGCTCGAGAATGTTCCGTAGTTTACACATGAGAAAATATGCAAAAAATAATGGAAATCCTGTACTTCTATAAAAATTGAATACATGTTCTAAGCATTATGATTTAGGTAAAAACACCTGTGTGGCAAAAAGGATGACTGTAAATCTTAAGGTTGTGGTGTCTGAATCAAACTTGTTGCCCACAAAACTGCTTTGCAGGTCAGAGTTAATTCAGTGCATAACCACTTTTTGGTTGCATGTAGCGCATCAATATTATTTGACATGTTTGGTGTGGGCACACTATACATTGGTGTGGTGTACTCCAAAAACAAAGACACCATCTCAAGACCCAATCACACAGGCACGATTTCCCGCAGGTTCAATTTCAGCTTCACAAATATGGCTTCCCAATGACAGCCTCTGTGAGACCAGTCGACCAGTCTAGTGAGCATGGCCCCATAAACATGATCAGACAGATATGGTCTCATAAAATATGGATGTCACAATGGTGGCTCCGTTGACAATATCAAGAGCACAGTCTTAAGGGATGTCCAAACCAAAAGCGGAAAGCAAAAAGCATCACTTTTAGCAAAGAGTTTTCCCGACGTGTTCCGCTTCGTCCCGTTTTTTTTATGGGGCGCACCCGGGTGGGGCTTTGGAATGCATGCGTGACAAAACCACTGGACTCAACCAATCACAGGGACGAGGGAAGTGGAGAGGAGGTAAAGGCTTTGGATGTGCTAGTCATGCTCGGACATCGTTGGTTGCCCTCTCAACCGTAGCAGATGCCATCTTAACGAGTACTGCAGGAGCAGGAGGAATGTAGGCAAAGCAGATGCGAAGCAGCAAACAGGAACTTCGAACCGGATCAAGGAAGAAGGAGGCCAAGAGAGGCAACGTATGCTAAGGAGCAGGTGGAGAGACATTCTCATTGGTCAGTGATGAGTGACATTTTTCTGACGACTGACTCGACATCATGCGCACCCTCTCTCCTTGAAATCACCGTCCTGTTCTGACAAAATAATGTCCAAAGTAAAAAACGAAACAAAGCGTTCCCACTTCCCGTTTTTCGGATGGAAAAGTACATGTTTTACACTTTCCGTTTTGGGATTTGAGACCTCTTTACAGGTATAATTAATTCCACAACCACTATCAGAAACGTGATGATGTGGATATGACCCCATAAACATGGTGTCAAAGAGGTTGGTTTACAGACATGATGAAGCAGATCACAAACATGATCTCACGAAGACTGCACTAAAGAGAAATCCGCAAATCTGGTGTAACAGACATGCCCTCACAGAAATAGTTTCACCGAAATAGCTTTGTGAATGTTCAGTGTTCTGCCAGTTGGGCAGCAGCGAGTTTGTGTCATGTTTGATTACCATCATGAATTGTATGAGTCTGACATATTTCACACAATGATGATGCTAATAATAATAATAATAATAATAATAATAATAATAATAATCCTTCTTTCTTATCATTTTTTTTTTTTTTTTTTAAATCTGGTTTATAGAAGAAAGAGAGGGGAGGGGGATGCTAATTTGAGGCACAGACAAAACAGTTCGACACTCGAAATACAATGTTACACAACCCAAGGAAATTATTAAACAATAACAAATATTATGTGGTCTGGCGTGTAACATGTTAAATACTAAGGGATTATGATAACGTACCACCTTTTTTGCCGCAGCCAAAACGCTTCCTGGCTACCATATTTTTCACTCCCGTCCAGCGATCACAGCTGTTTTTCATTTTGTTGTTTTGTTATCGCGACATACCCCTGAGAGCTGCTAAAACTATCAAAATAAGTGCAAGTGACAGAGAGAACGCGAGAAAATAAGAAAAACTGACCAGGTCTTCGATCGCGCGGAATCTGTGCAAAAACACGCACTGACCTACAAAATAAACAGTCTCGTCTTCCGCTCTTGTTTATTTACCGAGCAACGTGCGAGGCGATAGCAATCGCGTAACAGCGTAGCACGACGTCTTTCACAACCTGAGAGTCCGCGATCGCGCACGTCCGGTTTTTATTCATTCCCTCCGATGTTACGATTCATTTTACAAAACGTGTGACTCTCTCGAATTGTTACTGTTTACATTTCGCGAAAACACCGACGAGTAGCCCAACAAGCTGTGCTCTCCCAGAGTAAAGATTCGATCAAACCACCAAGGGACGTACTTTAACCGCAGCTAATGTCGTTCATCGCAAGTTAATGCACTCTTTAATTCGCTACTGCGATAAATAAAGCAGAACATGAACAGTTTTTGCCAAAGCAAGGGGCGCGTTGAAGGACTTACTTGCGGTACCTGTCCTTTAGCCAAGGCGGGAATTCAAGTGTTCAGCAATTGTGAACATCCAGATGCCGTATTCAGCTGAAGCCCTCGCTCGTCAGGATCACGCGCCGCAAATTAAATACGACATACGGCTGTCTTCGGGCACAAAATGTTTTCGCGCAACTGGTACGACCGAGTTCATTGTAACGTAAACAAAAATCTGAATCAAGCCGCTCGCCCGCTTGCACAGACGTGAGGTTTAAGCCGTCAAGTCATTACCACACGGAGCAAGTTTCGAAAGTTGAACTGAAAATAAAAAAACAACAAAAATAGCCAATATGCTTAAATAATTGTGTAAAAATGTAAATTACGTTTATTTTAAAAGCTTATTTATTAAAATTTACTGAAAAATATGTTTTTTGTTTTTTTAGTAAAAGCTTACAAGTGGCTAGGGAGAAGAGAAAAAAAGGCAAGCCATTTTGAATAAAGGCAACGTTGATTAAAGGGGCGATGCAAATATTTTTGTACTTCGCGCAAACACCGCTCACAACGGATCCCTGATATTAATGGCCTTATGAAACACGCGTTCGTTTTTCACTCCAGAAAAAAATTAAAGAAAAACGCTGAGTTCCAGACATTGTTATGGCTCGGCTAGAGCACTATATAGCTCCTACGGAGCAGAGTAGCGCAATCCTTTGAACCCCGTGTTTTGCCGACAACATGGCCGACAGAGCGGCTCGGCGCAAGTCACGTGGTACTCAGGGTTCCAGGAGGCGGCCAGCCCTATGGGAGAATACATGGGGATCGACATAACACGGCTGATTAAAAAACTAAAGGCGAGTTCACATTTTTCAAAACTAGCCTGTCGTGAAGTTAGTAAAGCGCTAAACACTTTACCAAAGTTTTAATAATATCGGATGCGTGTGCAAATTTTGAGAACGCGATTTCCAAGGCAATGGCGTTTGAAGCAGACGATTTTTGCTCGCAGCGGAGATGGGCTTTTCGGGTTGGCCGGAGCGGGTCACGTGAATGGTGTGACGTCGCCGTGTCGTCTGCTGCATGATGCCGCTCAGGCAATTTTTTAAAAAAAGTTACGTCCTTGTATGGCACAAAACTTATCGCATATTATTCTAAAATGTTTCATTATTATGTCAAAATTGATTGCCATTCCGTACATCCCCACAAAACTGAAGAAACAACGATTTTCTCACGTTCTCCATGCATTTCTGACCGCAGTTGGAACCTCCGGGCGTTCGCCGCTAGTCGCCGAGAGACGGCGTTCTAGATTGCGCTACTCTGCTCCGAAGGAGCTATATAGTGCTCTAGGCTCGGCCAGCTCGGCAGCGATTGGACACGGGCACTGGACCGACTGGACACGGGCAGCAACTATCCGAATGCATGTCGAGGCATCGATTGTTACGAGCCCAGATCGAATGCGTACGCAGTCACGCCGCCTTCGCGTCCACTGTGTGAGCAGCATTTGAATATCGTCACAGCTGGAATCGCAAAGCTCGATGACGCATTCCCGGGGATCGTACTGTTGCCATTGTTCCCACTGGTCCCCACAGCTCCGTCAGAAAATTTCGTGAAGGAGCAAAAGGCGGCTTTGGAAGGAGAGACTGAAAGAAAAGCTCCGCTTTCATCCTTTGAATTTCGCCGCGACGAAGACGCTTCTTGGTCAGTGGTGTTGCGTTCGAGTATTCTTGGGTCCATGCTTGGGTCCCACTAGTGCCAAGAAGCTGGTGTAAAGTAAGAAATATTCCTACCCAATGTCGTTGCACAGCTCCTTTAAAGGCAGTGGCGGATCCAAAGAGGGAGGGGAGAGGGGGGGGGCGCGCGACGGGGCGCCCCCCCCCCCCCCCCCCCCTCCCTCCCTCTCCCTTCTCTGAGGGCAATTTGACATGGACGAACCCCCCCGTGCACAAGAAAGAATGGGAGAATACGCTTAAAAATTTTCCGCCCTGGACCCGTGGGACTCCCCAGCGACTTACAAAATTGAAGGCTATTTCTGAACTCGCCTTGAAAACTCGCTTGTCAGCAAGGACGATAACTACTACTGCTGACAATTTTTTTTTTTTTTTCATTAATATAAGTGTTACATACATAATCTCATTACTTAACTTTGCCTACTCAAAAAAAAAAATATATATATATATATATATATATATATATATATTTGTACAGATTTAGACTTCTGTGATCAGTAGTTTATTTAACTGGGCCGAAATCATGATTCCTTTTTCTCCCAAACACCCGGTATATCAGCTAGAGAGAGAGAGAGAGAGAGAGAGAGAGAGAGAGAGAGAGACATGTTTTTATTTGATGAGGGGTTCACCCGCTATGGAGTTGTGCTCCTGAGACGGGAGGGGAAGGGTTGTGAAGGGTGAGGGGGTGAGGGAGGTTTCATGATGATGGTAGTGACGTCTTAGATGAGGCTATGTACACCCGACTCCCTGATATACTGTATCAAGGAGTCGAGGATGGCTTTCCTGTGCTGAGGAGTGCCCGTTGGATTGGTCCACTCCTCGAGCGTCGTAGGCTTGTCTACGCCCTGGATCTTGTCCAGAGCATCATTTCTATGATGCTCGAGGCCCTTACAGGCCCAGAGCAGATGCTGCAATGTTGCCTCGGCTCCTTCCGAGCAGCTCGTGCAGGTTGGGTCCATATCTTCTTTCAGTCCAAAAAATACTAGTTTGGATGGTGTAAGTGCAGTATTCGTTCTTATTCTTCGAATCCTGACGGTTTCCCACCGACTGTATCCTACCAGTATATTGCTGTCTGTCGGCGGAAGCTGGCTGCGAAGGTAGGCCTTTCTCTCCAGTTTGGCGAGTTCGGCCCGTTCCTCCGGGTCTATTGCTCCCGCCTTCATCTTCTCCCGAGAGGTTGAGCCTGGTGCGGAGCGAGTGCTACAGGCTGTCTCCGCTGCGGCTCGGTGTGCCCTCTCGTTCCCGGGTATGCCACTGTGTCCGGGTAGCCACTCGATTGTAAGTATGGTGCCCCTCATGCGGAGCTCCACTGCCACTTTCTTTATTTGCTTTACCGTGCGACTCTTTGTTCTGCTGCATCGGCACGCACGTATTGATTCTTGTGAGTCCGTAAAAATTCGTGCCTTGCCTGGCTGGGTCTGTTTCTTGAGCACGTCTTTCACCGCCGCCAAGATAGCCCTCAGTTCTGCCTCTCTGATAGAAGTCCCTTCGGAAAGTATTTCGGTGCTCTCTTCATTTCTTCGTGGATCGTACCACGACGTAGTCGTGGCGTCCTCTGTCTTGGCGGCGTCCGTGTACCGTAACTCATCTTCTGTCGCGTGCGTTTCGCACCAGCTTGCGTGTAGTCTGGCCGCTCGAGCCCGCTTCCCTTGGTTGAGAGTCTTCGGCATGGGTTTGTGGTCGGTGTATCAGCTAGAGAAACCTTTAACCATATGTGTCCTCAACAGTCGTGCAATAATCGATCTGGAGATTAAGGAGAGAGGCACAAAACAATGGGAATGATAGACAAGACTGCAAACTTTATTGGCAGGCACAACATCTTTTAGTATGTACACAGTGTAGAGAACCGATGGAAAAAGAATTGGTCATAAATATGCACACTGCTTGTTAATGCAGCATGCTCTTGTCCAACAGTGCAGAACATGTTTTAACCACCATATAAGCATTCTAGAAACCCCCAACAAAGTTTGCAAAATATACATGGCCTACAGCAAAAATAAAAATGTACTAGGTTTTCAACACAACTGTACAGATTTTGTCACAGAGAGGTACTAGAATTACATAACATACAAATAAGAACAAAAAAGAAAGAAGAGACCAGCACCAATCATACACCGAGATATTTTACGAAAAATTGTGGGGTGGTGCTGGCTCTCAACATGATTCGGAATAATCTGAACTGGTTGCTGCCCTGTAAGGCAAAAGAAAAAAGAAACTGCCTGGTGAATCGCCTCGCCCCATCCCCACTTTCACCCCCCTCGCAGATGATATCACACGACCAAACTTGCCCATCCCCACCATGTCAAAGACGTTGAGTGACAAACCACACGTGTTTCACTTGTGCATGTGGGAGAGTCAGGCGCCTCGCTGCAAGGGACTTTGGGGCCAACAGACTAACAGTGTCCCGAACGTCACACATGCGCACAACGTGAAACAGCTTCAAACCGATGCAAGTCAATGAGTGAGTGCACTTCCCAACCCTCGAGTCTTTTCCCCGGGTTCAAACCCTGTCGCATTTAAATTAAGACTGTATATACAACAATGTCGAGGCACCCCCCTACAGCACCATGCATCCACAATGCTCGGAGGCAGAAGCACATAAATTAGATGGGCTGCGATCAGAGCTCGGTGTGTTCGCTTTCTTCCAGGGGTTGCCCAGGGGTCGGTTCCACGGGAATCGTTTCGTCTGCATCTGCACAACAAGGAAACACGTTCAGCACGAAATGTCGGGCTCCAATATAACAAAACCAGGCAGGTTTGCATCCAACTAGAGCATAACATCTGGCCTTTATACAAGCCACAGACAATGATGTTTGGCTGTAAATAAATGTGTGCCCTAAAAACTTTACCTGACATTTTTTTTACAGCCGAGCTGTTAAGAGCTAGTTTCCCCAGTATAGTGTCCGCCAGCAAACAGATCATGACACAAAACTCTGGACAGCCACCACCATCTATGAGCGACGGCAGCAACCAGACAACTGGCTTGCCGGTTGCCTGGTTGCCGCCGTCGCTCATAGATGGTCGACCTTTCCAACCTTTCCACTCTGGCTTGGCGACTTGTGGCAAGCCATTACTTCATTCCCACCATAGTACAGCTTCGCTAATCTTCCTTCTTTACCAGAGTGGAAAAGCTAAAAGTTTTTTTTGAACAGGGTCAGAAATTTTTGAGTTCCTGTCTAAAACCACCTGTGGACATCGTTAAGTGGGTGGCTGCAAGAGTGGATACTGTCCCAGACATCCAAAAAGAAAACAGTCTAGTCCCAATCCATAACCAATTAACAAAAGGCAATGAGGAGTGCAAGTTCGTCCGCTTCTTTTGCAGGAATTGTGGCGACGTCAGAATGGCGATCTGCGATTGGCCTAATTGAGGGATAATGGGTAGACCTCAAAGCAAGCTGCCTTGAGATCTACCCCCTACCCTTTAATCAGAGCCAATCAGTGCTCGGCGTTCTAGTGTCACCACAACCCCTGCAAAAGAAGCAGACAAACTTGCACTCCGCATACAAACGAGCCACTTCATATATTTACCCGACCATAGCCTAACTTCTCATCAGCCCAGGCTTCCTGCTAAATTAATCCTCCAGATCAACTCATAAACGTACCGGTTTTGCTCCTTACACTAACTCACTCAAGCCTAGCTACCCAAGAATGTTCCTCCCCGTTATTAAATTCTACTTGCCTGTTGTGGGCTGTTCTAGAGGCAAAGGCTCATCCACGGGCAATGCTCCATCCATAGGCAAGGGCTGTTCTGGCTCTTCTGCATCAGCAATGATCTCTTCTTCGGCAGGCTTTTCTGTCTCCGTATCTGAAATGGGCCATCATCAGGGAAAGCAAAGTAGTGCAAGACTTTGGACAGCTAGAGTATGTGTGACAATAAGTGTGTGAATTATGGTGACTTCCTAGTCTTCCCTTCCTTTCCTGCTTTCCTATAGTTTGCTCTTTCCATTTCCCCTTACTAAAGGAGATGGATACCTTTCAACCAGTGCATGATGCTCAAACCACCATCGTTGTCCCGTGCCAAATTTGTTTTGTATGCTCATCACCTAACAAAAAATTCCGGAGCAAAAACTAAGCCAAAAGCATGGTTCTCAGACTATCCAAGAGAAGGAGCCAAGTGTTTGAAAGTGCAGATATGAGGCTGCAGCTCAAAAACAGCAAGTGGAGGTAGATTTAGGGTAAAGGTTGAGGGGGTCCTGGTGGTAGGATGTTCAAATGCATGAGTTTTTAACCCGATTTGGTTGCTGGAAGCCTAGGGGTTCCCTAGAATGCCCTCAAAGGTTCCTCAAGTTCATCAGTTTCCTCAGTCGTCCCTGCTCCTAAGTAAAGTCTTCCTCCAGTTTAAGCACCTTTGTATTATTGTCCAAGTTTTGCACTCCCTTGCAATTACTGAACTCCGAAATGAGAGGCCTCCAAGGGGTTCACACAATGCAGATATACACGCACCTTTCGGCTTCTCCTCCTTGACCGGCTCCTTCTTGGGTGGAGCACGCTGGGCCTTGTTCACCAGGTATTTGGTCTCCCGGTCAAGTAGCTGGATTTTCTCGAAGATCATCTTCAGCGTCAGCTTGGGAGTCTCGTGCAGCGGAGTCTCCTTTTGCAGGGCCTCCTGTTCTGCTTGCCATACCTGTCCAGGAATACAGCACAGCAGTCAGCATCAGCATGCTGTTCGTCAGACAGCTTCACTACACCATCCATCTTTCCTCGTGTAGCCTTCTGCAGAGATACTGTACTATACTGAACAGTGAAGTGTAATTTTTCTCTCTGACTTATAAATGCATATCTCAACTAACGCAATGGTGCAGGAATATCCAAACTTGTGTTGCCACCCTGAAGAAGTTATATGAAGAGTGGGTACTGAATTGGGATATTATAGCACTTTTGAATGCAGTTTAAACTAGCTAGAAAAATTTACACTAGCTTGATCATGCTGACAAAGATCAGGGAACACTGAATCTGTTGAGCTACCACGCCTGTCAAGAGTGTGGGCTGTGCATGCTGTCTGTGTTGATGGGTGCGAGGCTGACGCATGCAGGGCTAATGCAACTGCACACTTCATGTGCATACATGCATGGTAGCTCGACACACCCCGAGTTCCCCAGTCTTTGTCGAAATGATCAAGCTACCTAGTGTAAACCTTTTACTTTATAAACCAACCGTCAGCTGTCCCCACGCACCTCCTCTGCTTATCTCGGTCAGTACAGTAGCTGGCTGGGTATGCTTTGGTCCCAAGTTTAATCCCTGTCTGGAGTATTCCTGTTTTTCTGTTTTAATAATCACCCCTGCGTGCCTATACGCTTTATGTAACTTTAACCCATGTTTAACAGTACACCGTTACAGCTAAGCATTACAGTTTTTCGTGGAAGTGATCAAAATACTAAAAAGGACGATGAGAGGCCAGAACCCACCCTGGTTTCGTTAATGGCCTTGGCCAGTGTTGTAATCTCCACCTCGGTGAAGATCTCGCCCTTGAGTGCCTGGATGGCGGTGAGGTACACCTCGCTGGTGTTCAGCATCCCGGTGAGGGCAGCCAGTGCCTGAGGCCGCTCCCTGTGCTCCTGAACCCTGTCAAAGAGGTCCTTCACGATCCTGGTCAGCCCGGAAAGCTTATCCTTGAAGGCCTGGAGGAGAGGGGAGACGATGTCACTATGTCAGATCGACATGAAGTGGATGGTGCACCATATCCTGGCAACTCAGTAGTACCTCGTCTCTCTTATACCTTGGGCAAATGCTTCCCAACCTCTGACGCCCATCAAGATATTGATTATCACGTCCAGTGTTCGTCGGTGCAGCCTTCCTTACCTTGGTTTCGGCGTTGTCGGACTCGTACTCCAACCATTCGGAGCCTTCGTTGAGCTTGGCGACAATGTTCTGTTTCTCTTCCTCAGAGGCAGCCCGTTCGTACTCTTCGCTGTACATCTTGTCCTTGGTCTCCAGAACAAAAGATTCCAGGGCATTCCTGGCATGGTCCCTTGCCAACTTAGCCTTGTCCTTGCTCTCAAGATCAGATAGCCTGGGGGAAATGTAAAAGTTTCACTGAGGCAGGGCAGTAGTGAAGTAACTGTTCAACACCTTTTAAGCAAATTTAAAGTGCAGCAGCATTTAATAAATTAATCGCTAATTTAAAAAAAAACAAAAATGAACTGGATGCATGGGTGCACGATTGGTATGTTACGGTAGATACCGCTTCCATTCTTTGAACCAGAAAGGCTTCATCAATAGCGACCTATTTGGGTTGCGAGATCTTAGAACTGGGGTTTCGAGTTTTTGGGGCCTTTTTTTCTTCGAATTCAGGGGTGGTTTTTCGAGGTTTTTCGGTATCAATTGTTGGTTTCGGGGAAAAAAATTTACCAGGGCTTATGTTGAAGAAAATGGGGCACGAACACAAAATTCCTCAACTTCCAGTGGACATATGCATGTCCTTGTCCCCATACCAATAACAGAAGAAAACAATGTAAAATAGGGTAGCTAAAAAAAAAAAAAAAAAAGAAAAAAAAAAAGCTGCCTTGCTAAAAAAAGGGTAGCTAAAAAAAAAAAATATAAAGCTTTAGATAAAGATTTATTTCCGTAAAGCTTCGGTATATTTTTCCCTTCAGGACAGCTTGGATTCGCGTTTTTTCGGTTTTCGCCGATCCTGATAAAACTTTAATTTTCGGGGTTTATCCGCATTTAGCGAAAACAAGAAACCCTACTTATAACTGTTGTTTTATGTATTCAGAAAAGTAAAAAAAAAAAAAAATCTGGAAAACATTTTAGTAGTATTTTCGTCAATTCAAAGTTATCCGAAAAACTCAAAAGACTAAAATCACAATGGCAAAAAAAAACAACAAAAAAAAGACAATATTTCTACAAATAAGTTTGGCCATTGAACAGGTTCAGTGTTCTTGAGGAGAGGCCACTTGAGTTTCCTTTCAGTTAACCATTTACCTCTTGAAGGTTAACTCAGGACAATGGGTCATTGCACTTCTTGGCCACGGCAAGCCTCAACTATACTATCAAAGTAAAATTTGTGGGTTTTACGTGCCAAACCTACGACGGGCATCTGGCACGCCCCAGCGGAGGACTGAAGATTAATTTCGACCACCTGGGGATCTTTTGACGTGCAACCGAAAGCTCGGTTACACGGCGCCTTCTCCGCAATAAGCCTCCGTCATATTGCGGGCACCTCGTTCGGGATTCGAACCCGCCACCTGGAAATCCGTAGGCCGGCGCTCTCGCCTCGGAGCCACCGAGGCGGCTTCAACTATACTATTTGTGCTTCTTAAAGGGTAACCGCAAAGAAAAACAAGTGTTTTTTTAAACAGCCTAATTGGGACAAGCATGTCACAAAACAAATCTTCCACGAAAAAACAATTTTTTTTCTAGCAATATTTACGCCACAGGACGTAATTTAGTTGGAGTCACAACTTCTCCACATTTGAAACTCCCGCTCTTTCTACGCGCGTGGAGCATAGGTCGGCATTTTAGAGCCCCTTCATTCACCATCACATCACGAACAAAATCACGTCTCCAAATTCATTCGCATTCACGTCACAAGGTACTCCGACCTCCCAAAGTCATGGCCCTTCACATCCCGGCGTTCAACCGCGCCAAAACTTCATCCCCTTCACATCACAGTTTTCAAACTCCGCCGAGAATTCATCCCTTTCACATCACGGCGTTCAACCGCGCCAAGAATTCATCCCCATCACATCACCGCCGCCTCAGAATTCACGGAGTCATTCACCATCACGTCACCAAATCCCGAAGTTATTTACCATCACCGCGAATTCATCGGAATTCACCATCGTGAATTCGGGATACGGTCCATTCGTCACATGCGCACTCGTCACAGGACGATTGGTCACAGGACGATTCGTCACACAGGAACATTCGTCATAGGATGACTCGTCACGCGGCCAACCGGTCCCACAATAGTTCGTCCCCTCAAAAATGTATTATTCTTTTTGGTTCGGGCGGACAACGTGCCTCACCTCTTAGTGTGTCTTTGGCTTCTGAAAGGCGAAGAATTTGTAACAAACGTTTTTGCTTCTGGTTCGGTCCCGAACATTGAATGTTGGTTCGGCCTGACAAAGTGGGTCACCTCTTCTCTTAGCACGTCTTTCGCTTCTCAAGGTCGAAGAATTTGCAACAGACGTTTTAGCTTCTGCGTTCGTCCCGAACGGTGAAGACGGAGGCCATATAAAAGCGACTATTTTTGAACTCAGACTGCATTCAAAAGGATTGAGGTGATCGCAACAGAGAAAGGTGGAGCCATGCAGCTGCACGAGGGGTACTCCTACACTTGCAGCAGAAAGAATTCCGATACTTATTGGTTTTCTCAAGGTGTATGCAAGGCAAAGTAAAAACGTATTTGGCTGCCAGTCGGGTTATTGCTCGTTCAAGCCAGAAACTTAGGTCAACCTGCTGAAGAGTCGTAATATGATGAAAGGAGAAGCGGATGAGAATTGTAAGATTAGTTTTTCTAACCTTTGGTTTATGTCACAGTGAGAAGTCGTGAAACTCCTCACCAGGAAATGTGGGCAGTTGTTGAAATTAACAATTCAATATCGTCCCCTGCCTGATCGATGTGACCAGTTGCCCGCATGACGAGTCATCCTGTGACGAATGTTCCTATGTGACGAATCGTCCTGTTTCCAATCGTCCTGTGACGAGTGCGCAAGTGACGAATCGTCCTCATCCCCGTGAATTCATCGGAATTCACCATCACATCATGAATTCATCGGAATTCACCATCACATCATGAATTCATCCGAATTCACCATCACATCATGAATTCATCCGAATTCACCATCACATCATGAATTCATCCAAATTCACCATCACTTCACGAAGTTATTCACCGTTACGGTCAACACGAATTCACCGGAATTCACCATCGCATCATGAATTCCGGATAATTCAGGAAGTTATTCGGGTTCATTTTGACTAAATTCGACTTCACGGCTGGTAGCCCTTCACGAGTTCGCAGTTCTTGCGGAATAAGACTGTGGCGCCTTTTTGTGACCGCCACTTGGAACCAGGACACGAGGACCTGACTCCGCCGGCGAAGTGGGGTATTTCGAGTGCGCGAAACACAAACCACAATGAAGAAGTGCCAATCCAGCCAATGCCGCGCTGCGATCGTCTCACGTGAATGTGCTCCGTGCGCCACCGCGCGGAACCGGCAGGTCACGTGATATAATCTCGGCGCGGGATTACGTGCGCCTGCTTGTGACCTCGGTTTCGGCTTCGTCTCTTTTGAAACGATATATGGCTGTGCCGCGTACGAAGCGGTGCCTGCTGCTACTTGTGCCCGTGGACAGCGCGGCTGCACCACGCACGACTCATGAGCGAGACGGCACAGCGAAAGCCTTCAGGGATTCCGGACCATATGCCTTGAGACACGGAAGGACAAGGTCCGCAAGGAGCTCATTTGATTCACGAGGAACCGCTCAGAACAACGGCAAAATTAAATGTCAAGTAACAAAGAAAACGACTAGCCCCCCCCCCCCCCCCCCTCCCTCCCCTTCATTGTCACTGCCACCGCACTTCCCTTATAAAAAGCTGTTACTACGAAAGTGCTCGACAAAGGGCCACCGCGCTGAGACGCGCACGGCTACGCAGCGAGACTGGTGCCGAAACCGCTAAAGTCAAGTGGGTTCCTGTGGTTAGCGGTGAAGGATGAAACAACCAGCAAGCAAGCACCTGCGTAACATGTTTTCCGCCTATTCTGAAGTCATAACCGTATTCACTATCACGTCGAGAATTAAGTTCACGGTATTACTTCCCATCACGAACTTATCAAGTTCACGAGCCACGCACATCACAAATTGATCGTGTTCACGAGTCATTCACCATCCCGTCACGACTTCAGTGAGTCATTCACATCACAATGAATTCTATTCACTTTACGAAGTCCTTCACAATCACGACACCATCATGAGTTCATTCAAATTCACAAAGTCATTCACCATCACATCACGACTTCATTCAACATCACATCAAAAATTCATTCAAATTCATGAAGTCATTCACCATCACATCACGACTTCATTCAACATCACATCACGACTTCATTCAACATCACATCACGAATTCATTCAAAATTAAAGTCATTCACCATCACTTCACGACTTCATTCACCATCACATCACGAATTCATTCAAATTCACGAAGCAATTCACCATCACATCACGACTTCACGACTTCATTCACCATCACATCACGAATTCATTCAAATTCTCGAACTCATTCACCATCACATCACGAAGTCATTCAAATTCACGAAGTCATTCACCATCACATCACGAATTCATTCGAATTCACAAAGTCATTCACCATCACATCATGATTTTTTTCAAATTCAAGAATTCATTCAGACCCATTCAGATTCACGCCGTGAATGTGAATGAAGGTGAATGAGCGAGTTCATGAATGAATTTGCCGAGGTATGGCGTGGAGTGGCTGCTATACGTCACTCCGTGACGTATAGCAGCCACTACGTGACATAGAATACCAACTTTGTGGTGCGCGATTTAAAACAGACGAAATAGCCGCAAACTAAAATCGGTCTAGCGCAATAAATATTGCTGTAAAAATTTTTTTTTTTTTTTTGGCGGAAAAATTGTTTTGCGATATGCTTGTCCCAATTAGGTTGTTTAAAAATACACTTTTTTTTTCTTTGCATAACAGTTCCGATTAGAAACAGTGAAAGTTATGAACCCTTTGATTTTATAGGAGGAGAGGGGAGGAGGGGAGAGACTCAGCCATGGGGCAGAGTTGTGGAATGGAATCGGAAGAAAAGAAGCTTCCCAGCGACTACGTACAGGAGTTTAGTGATTTTATAGTAACAATGTGTATCGAAGCAACAGTTGTTTGCAGGTTTTGCTGTGGAACAGTTAGTAGTGCCAGTAACAAGGGTGCTAACTCCGAATCCAGACGAAGGAATATTATTCGATACAGGCGAGTTCAATTTAGGGTAGGTATGTGTCCGAACATTTATTTTTATTTTGAATCTCCTAAAATTGTGAACACAGCAAAATTGAAGTTCGATTGCCCGAGAATCAAGAATACAACAAAAACAAACTCAAATAAATCCCACATTTCAGGAAAAAGAGACAAAAAAAAAAAAAAAGACCTCTAAATTTCATGAAAAACAAACTTTGAAAGTATGGAACTTTACTTAACAACTTTCAGGAGATGCATCCTTAAAAATATGAAAGCCATTATACTGTAAAATTCCGAGAGATGCCCGATTTCCAAAAGATAGCCCACCCCTATTTTTGGCTTGATTTGCTATTTTTTTTTTAAATACTGAAAGGTACCCGATTCCTAGAAATAATAGTATTGGGGTCAATGATGACCTCGGTGTGAATGCGGCTAATTAGCTATGGCAGAATATGAGCGAATGTTGCTAGCTGAGAAGTACAGTCATCTTTGCTTCGTTGCCCCTCGCCACCATAACAAGCTTGAAAGGAACATGACCTAAAAATAGTAATGTTTTAAAATTTTCTTCATTGTACACCGAAAGTTAGGTCACTCCATATTTTCACCTGATTTGCTCTTGATGTTAGGTGGGTTATCTCAGGATTTTACGGTATGTTAGCGATTCAAAAATTGAAAGACCTCACTCCCTCAGGCCCTCAGCTATCAAAAAAGAGTTTCAATGAATCAAGAATGAGGCGAAGTGGCGAATCGGTAGCTATTCCTTGAATATTCCGAGCACAACAACTATATGTACTAATGGTCACAATGCCCAATGGTATCATAAACTACGGTCCGTTCCGATGATGCAACACTCTTGTGAAATGGTGTAATAATAGGTCACAAAAGCATTTGACTGTACCTACAGTCCAGTAACAAGCATCAATGAGACATATACAATATAATACAAGCAACAAATGATTTTCAATTTCCTTTTCACTAGAGTAGAGCAGACAGCAAAAATTAGGACAGGAGTCGAGAACACTTCACACCCCAAGGCACTTCTAGAATGCCGATATCACGACTCACTTTTTGATTGACTCCGCAATCTGTTCCGAAGTCGGAGGTGTTCGGTCCAGCAGCTTCAATTCAAAGTTGATGGGTTCCTTCACGGGAACAACCTTGAGCGTTTTGACAGTTTCATTCGTTGCTGCCGCTCCCTCTTTATCGGTTTTAGGCTCCTCCTTGGACGTCTCGGTCTAAAAAAAGAAATCATACCTTCGCTGTAGAAAATGCGCTAGAGCAAATATCAGCCTTAGCCCGACCAAAAAAAAAGAAAAAGCCTGAATTCAATGGAGTTGTATAGTAAGCAAATAGTTTTAGCCTTAGCAGTGTGGATTTCAAAGCAATACTTTAGGAGTTATACCTTGTTTCCGGACTTTCCTTCCGTTTCAGTTTCAGTTTTTTCCCCATCCGCCCGTGCCTCTGCCTTACTCTCCTTGTCCTTAGCGTCATCTGCCTTCTGGTCCTGACTCGCTTCAGCTTGTTCCTGGATTTGGCATGTGGCATTAATAAACCCATCCAACAATAAAAACCCAGGTGCACGCGTGTACCCAATGAGATTCATGCACACAAGTTCGGTCCACATTCTCATTTTTTCTTCATGTTTCTATGTGCTATAAAATGTTTAAAAAAAACATTATTGAGAAAATTAAAAAAAAAAAAAAAAAATTAAGCATAAATACAATTTTGACGGCCTATGCTAATCAGTTCTCCGCATCTGGAACACTCGTGGAAGCGACCGGTAAAAATTATTGCGCCAATTACAACTGTATTGTCCCACAGCTAAGAAATCCCTGTTTTGTCGATGCTCAAACTTTTCTGCGTTGGTGTGAAATGTGCATCTCTAAGAGCTACAACTTTGAAGGAAACACAATGATGCAATATGCATTTGACAGATCAGGACAAATTGTAAATTTCTTCATTTACAAGCTAGGCAACAACTGATATACTGTTTAACAGGGCACCCTACACAGCATCAAAAACCATTGAAACAGACTCCGTAAGCATGGTACTATTGGTGATGCCCTCCTAATGACGGAAAGTGGCTGGAAGTGCAGGAACAAAGAAAATGACACCTTGGCCACAATTCTGTTGAATGCAAAGGCACGAGCCTGCATCCACGAGAAGTACTTTCAATGCACGTAAAGCCAGGATGGAAGCACACACTGGCTCGCATTAAGAATTAGCAAGAATTTTGTTTCCGTTTGTACATTTTGGTCTTTAAAAGTACCTTATAGACAAACACATTCGTATAAATATTTAAAAAAATAATTCAGCCATCCAATTTTTAATGCAATCTTAAAGCGTAAAAACTTATAGTAACTGCCTTCATTCAGCATTAGTAAAGCCTATGCATTTTTGGTACAGAACATAAATTATAAAAAACAAGGCAAAAGTTTTTTTAAAAAAGTCCTAACACACACTGTCTTAATGAGACCATGTGTGTTGTCAATATTTTTTACTTCGCTTTGTCTCAGCTTGAAGTATGGAAGTCATTCACCAGATTCCTTATGTTTTTACTTTCTCATAAGATAACTTTCACAATCCTACAAATTATATACCAAACCTTAAAATTAAAGGCTAAAATTAAAGATTAAAATTGAAGCAGCACAAAGTGTCTAAATTTTGTGCTACTTGTAATTTGCATAATACACATGTGGCATTAAACCTGACATAGACCAAATCCAAGAACAAAAAGGGAGTAGGTATTAACAGTCAAAGCTACTCTTTCTTAAGATATGTTGTTGCTGAGAAACAACTTTATTAAACGAAAATGATACAAGTGGCAAGGGTTACACTACGGTACAGCCATACTTTTTGCCCACACACCGGAAAGCGGGCGCAAGAAACATGACGAAAAACAAAAAAATTTTGACCGAACATGTTTGCATGATTTTCATCCATGTGCGTCAAACAAAATAAGGATGCTGACAGAACTAAGCAATCAAACTGTCACGCAAAAACGTTCCACTTGCAATCTTGTTGCGAGACAAACATTAAAGAAACAACACTGTTATAACAAAACCAGAACTGGGAAAGTGTGTTATTAATTATTTTAAAACCTCATTACCCCTAGCAACCTCCCACAATGACAATAAAAGAATGTCCCAAAATGCAGTCCAGAAAAGCACTTCAGTGCTTAAAACTCAGCCCTGTTTTAGTGAGTACATTTTTAAACTACCGTATATACGCGTGTAATGACCGCACTCGTGCGATAGCCGCACCCCTAACTTTAAACAAGAAAGTTCGAAAAAAATATATTTAAAAATTACCAGCGTATAGGCCACACCTATGATTTTAGAATGGCTGGAAGCACCATCTAGTTCGTAACGCAAAAACTCAAAAATGTTTTTTTTTTTTTATTTTTTTTTTTTTTTCAAGTACTGTTGACAGATGGCGCTTGCCCCGGTTGTGGCAGCCAACAACATTGAGGCACTCTATCCCGTCTGTTTGCGCCTCTCGCTTTATTTCAAACAATCTCGGACCAGACACAGTGCATCTTTTTGTGTTTGCTAATACCCCCGGTTTCCCGCTGTCATCCACTTCAGGCTTCTGGATGGAGAAGTACGCAAGTTACACCGCCTACTTTAAACTCAAAGTTGTTCACTTTGCTCAAGACAACAGCAAAAGAGCGGCCGGGTGAAAGTTCGGTGTCGACGACGCCGAGACACCGAGACAAGCTCCAAGATGAGTGCTCTACTATGGGCAAGTGAAAAGGACTTTGCACACCTGTCTATGCAATACCGATAAATGTTTTCTTGTCCTACAAAGACGTGCGAGTACTTCCATTTAATGAAGGCAAGTAGTGAAACTTTGGGCGAAAAAAAAGGATTTCCAATCAACTTTTCTGTTTTTCTCCGTGTAATAGCCGCACCCCTAGCTCTCGCCCGAAATAAAAAAAAAAGAATACCCGCGTCATTACGCGCATATATACGGTAAGTTTCAGTTGCAAATTAAAACACTTCTTCTAAAGGCACCTTCCAGTGCTAGGTGAAACTACCTTTAGGAATGGTCAAAACTGCCCACCTGGTTTTCTTTGGGAGCTCCTTCACTGCCAGCTTTGGGGGGCTCTTCAGACCCACTCGAGAACAAATTCCCCAGAGTGCTGCCGAGTCTCGAGAGCGTAGACGCGAGATTCTCGGTCGGTGGCAGGACAACCTCTTCAACTGTCTTCTCAAAAGCCGCCTCCGCCTATCCAGGCAACGAGAGAACCCCAGAACAAAAGGGAGTAGATGTGACACACCGGCTGACAGCAGAAAAACCCTGAAAGTTCAGTAATGCACGCCAATAGCGATGATGAACTTATGCATGGCACACGACAGCGACGATGAGGCCCAAACAAAGAACACGTTGCGATCGAGCAATTGGGGAGGATACACCTGATGAAATAGTGAAATCTTTCCAGTTCTTTCAGGATGCCATTGTCAAAATGTGTGGACTCTTATCTTGCACTGTAGCTGGGCTCATTGGCATTTGTCCTACTTCAAGCCTTAGTCACAGAACTCTTTTACCCTCATATAGAGTTGTGCAAATATTCAAATTTTCTAATAGTAGTTTCTAATAATAAGCTATTCGATATACGCTTCGAGACGAACTGTGATATTCCTACTTTTCAAAGTGACATTAGCAGCAGGTTAGCCCGGTTGAGGGCTTCCCACCGAGCACCTTTGCACAGCGAGGAAGCAATACCTGCGGAGCTCGCGGCTGTCGCTTTCCCGCAGCGCACAGGTGCTCGGTGAGAAGCGCACTCAACGGGCTAACCCTGCTTTTGTCAAAACTGAAATTGAAGAAAGAATATTTTCACATAACAAGAAGATTAGGACTGGGATAGGATAGCTGCGAAAATTTTGTTGTTTACAAGCCGTAACTTATAAATACAGATATGTTAAAATTAACTAAACTTAGAGGTGAACAAATGGAAGCTCGGTCACAACTTTCACTAGTTCAGCTGAGTTTCCTTTTAAGCATGGTGCAGTATGAAGGGCTTGGAGAAACTATTTGATTTGAAAATATTTGGCCAAAAGCACTATTTGCTTCGAACGTGCCTATTAAAACGTAACACAGACAGGCACCATTTATAACGGTGTCCATTTTTGTGATTGTTTTAACAGTGCAGGAAATTCTTTGAACATGCCATACCTAACTCAACTGGTCCAAAAGGTCTGGCTTTCTGACACAAGCAGTTTGCATTGAAATTCCTTACACTCAAATACAGCGGAGCACGTGAAACACAAAAAATTTAACACTCAAAAATCAATTGGTAAATGCCTGGCTTTCAAGCAATACTGCCCACAAGCCAAAGGCCCCACACGACCCTTAGCTTGTATAGTAAGAACCTTTCAAATTCTTTGCTAGGCTTTGAGAATGCAAATGCTCAATTGTAAGGCAGTTGAAGGCGGATTGCACCCGCCTAGGAGGAATAACATGGATGGATTTTTAAGACGATTGAAGAGCAAAGCCTGAAGCGGCATTGGTACTTTTGTTGCCTCAACAAACATTGTTGCCACACCCATAAAGGCGCTCGGTAATTCTCCTTCCTTGTACGGCCGGCACAAATTCCGAGTGTCTTTGCCGTTGTATCTCAGAACGCTCTTGTCACCACCCATAGAAAACATTTACCGGTTTAGGACTCGCTGTTTCTGTTTTAACCTTTTTCTCTGCTCTGGCGGGCACCGATTTTGTTTCAAGTACATAGATCACCTGTATGTGAGAAACAGGCGAATGTGAAAGCGATGTTCATGCACTTTGGACACTGCGTCAGGCATAAGCTGCCTGACGGGGCTAGACTTAAAGAGACACTGACAAGTTATTTGTGCTTGCATAGATTTCGTACTGAAACACTGCCAATAAGGGCCTAGCTATCCGGAAGAAAAAAAAAATGTAGAGCCCTTCCACTGCACGTGTAGATGGAGGACCAGCAAAACTGTTATCTTTACGACGTCTAGGACAATACCTAGAGCACGACGCCTAGAGCAAGATGCCTAGAGAACGACCTCAAGGACGACTTCTAGGACAACTTCGAGGACGCCGCCTAAAGGACAACGTCTGGGACGACCTCAAGGACAACTTCTAGGACGACCTCAAGGATGAACTCTAAGACGACCACGAGGATGACGCCTAGAGGACGACCTCTCGGACAATCTCAAGGACAACGTCTAGGACGGCCTTGAGGACTACGCCTATTTCTTGGATGACCTCAAGGACGACTCCTAGGACGACCTCGAGGACGATGTCTCGAGATGATAACAAGGGGTCAGGACCTCATTATCTAACGATGCCAAGGAAGGCTTACTCACGCTGGCTGCCCCCTCTTTTCGTTTTCATTTATTCACACTCGATCCCTTCTTTTGTTTTAATTTTTTTTATTCATACTTGCCACAACCAATGGGGAGTTTTCTGTCGACATGCGAGGACGCAGTTTTTTCCAGACCCTAGCGTATAACAGCTTCGCTGTAATACCTGCGGCTCGAAATCTGGTTTTCTAGTGCACAAATACGGCCGATCAAGAATTGGGTGTTCAGAGCTGCTCTCGTTCCATTTTCCTTGGTGATGCACAGTGACGACACGGAACACAAAAATGTTTCGAAGTCCTAGGCCAGAATTTATTAAACATAATCTTTATGAGCACTAGAACAGTAAAAAGGCACCAATTTAAGGAAACTATAAGTGAGTAGTTGCAGGGGGACTAATGAAGCGCCCTACGTCACAATTCCCCACCCTGGTCCTCCGAGCTCAATTTGATTCTGTTTAACTTGACACAAAGTTCCGTAGCTAAAAAAAAAAATTTCTATAACTGGTTTATGGTTGTAGCCACTGTGAAGTTAACTAAACACATTCTGCATATTTTAGAAAGGTAAAAAAAAAAAAAAAGAAGTCACGACAACTAGCTTCGGTATAGCATAAATTGATACAGTAGACTCATTAAGTCAAACTCTTGGAAGACACAAATTTTGCTGGAATTATCAGAAGTTTGAATTAGCATAAATTCATCTAAATATGATGGAAAATAAAATTATGATTTGTTACATGGACGGCTACACACACAAAGCAGATATTTGATGATTTCCTCCACACAAGCCTACTAGTCATAGCCAGGTATGCCACGTGTGAAACATTGGTGAAATGTACGAGATAAGTTTCTCCATCCCTCAAAAATGTTGTTTATTGTGGACTGTTTAGATAGCATGTGACACCTCAAAACAAGATTAAGTTTGTTTATCCACCAAAAACAATTCCGATGACACCTAAGCACTTCTTTCGAGTTGCGAATGCGAAAGCTTGAATGTTGTTCTTCCACTCCCTCAGTTCGTCTGCGGTGTACTGGCTTGAACGGCCACGTTTTGCTATTGCCGAGGTTGCGGCCAGCAGCCAAGCGTGCGCTCTCACGCAGCGGCCGCCAATGGCTATCGAGGAGCCGTGTTGCTGAGCCAATGGAAAAATGGGCATTTCTTTTGTGTTTTTGTTTTGCTGTTACAGAAGCCGCCGGCTCTGCTCCATGGGATAGTCAATGTTTTCGCATTAAAGGCACTTCTTACCAAGCACAGCTGCATTGCAGAAAAGCAACATTCGCGGAAGCAAGCTGCGCGGGTGTTGCTTCTCGCAGTGCACCGGCGCTTGGTAAGAAGCGCGCTCAATGGGGCTGCGAGAGCAAAAAGTATGAGTTACACGAAAACGCCTTTCGAATTAAGCAGTCAATAAATTACATTGAAAACATAGCGGGACAACCTAAATTTTGCAATTTGTTGAAATTAACCAAAAGTAGGAAATATTTTAGCTTTGATTACCATGAGCCTAGTACTTACAAAAATTGCTCCGACGTTGAACAAAAGAAGGCTCGTATGCTAATTCGAGCCAACAGAAGATTTCAAAAGAGTAGGTGGCCATTGTAAAAAGTAATGAGAAAAGGTGTTGGAAACTGGGGGGGACCTCTGCTACTTGGAGCATCGAAATCATTAGAGCGAAATGCGTCTTTCCCTATAAAATGAAGTGCAGTGCAAAACTATTCGAGAGTTAAATCAAAGTGCTACTGCACTCACGCTGTCGAGTGTGAGAAGTCCGCTCTCGTCCAACTTGAAGTGGGCCTTGATGCCCTTAGGCTCGGCCCCTTCCGAGTGCTTCTTTAACGCATCTGCCACACCAGACAAGCTCACAGTGCTGATGTTCAGAGACCCAAAGTGGCTGTAAAAGAAAAACAAATATATGGTATTAACCTACATTCTGCTCATCATACATTTAGTGTTTTAACATGGAAGGTATGGCTGGGTTTCATGAGAAAAGCAACATGTCGTGCTCGACCAACACGCAGGTCAAGGTCACATAAGCAACACGGCCACCTAGGGGCTATGTTGCTTCTGTGATCTTGATATCAGAGTGCCATGTGACCTTGTGGAGTCATGTGACATCACACGGACACACTACAGCATGCGCCCGGCTCATACGCAACACATCCTGCTCATCTGCGAGCTCATTATATATAACCCGAAACACGCTAATTTTTCAAAAGTGTTTAGAACTAAACTTCAGGCTACTAGACTCCTTAAGGAATTTGTATCCATACCCCATTTCATTCGAAAGTACTAGAAAGTGCAAGAAAAAGTTCGGATGAGCATGGGACCCCAGCTGCAGTCATGTGCAGCCATAAAAGTGGTTAAGGCACACAGTTATAATACCACAAGCAATCCACAAAAACAAAAAGAGTGAGGAAACAAATGATATGTAAAGAGGAGTTTCTAAAGATATTCAAGAAAGAGATACCTCAGTTCCTCTTTGCTCATAAAGCTCAGGTCGCCATAGTTGATGGAAAATTCAAAGTCGGTAGTGTAGCGGGAGAAGGTCATGACTTTCTTCTGAGGGTACAAGTTGTTCCGGTAAAACAGAACCCGCCGCACCAGCTTTGTGCTTTTGACTCCATCAGTGTCCACTTCGCGGCTGAAGTCCACCTGAAACCATAGCACGACTGGGTCAGAAACAAGCTATACCCTGGGCATGTGACAAATATAAAATATTCAAGAATCTATAATAGCGACCAGTACTGCCAACATGGTCAGCTTCTACGACCATGATTACACTTGTCTCGGAGCATGCTGTTGCAGTAGACACGGCTTGTAGCCCCATTCCTACCAGGGACTGATCCATTCATGTGAATTTTTTCATTAGCGAGCCTCTAACTAAAAATAATATCCCACTTTATTCCAGCAGTCATAAAACTTAAAGGTTCATATTTCTTAATACAGGTCAGAATTTTAGCTTTTCAGATTACTCTTCAGGAACATGCCATATCTAATTAAACAATTTGTGGCCCCACATTATTTGTGCAACTCGCACTTTAAAACCAAACTGAAACAATTTCAACCCGAAAATGAAAAAAGAAAAAAGTTCAAAGCAGTAGAAAAATAAAATAAGGGGTAGACAACATCTCACGTGCACACTAACTGTATTTTCATTTAGATCTTGAAATCAAATTTCCAGAGAAAATAACCCCTATCTGCTCTCATGATTTGCGCAACCCTCTCAACCTACACAGCTATGTACCATTCTACATCGATATAACATACGCAACTAGCAAGCTCGTGCGCCAGAAAGCAGTATTGGCAGGCGTCTGACAACCTGCTTGATGTCAGAGCGTCGCCAGCCCCTGTAGATGCTACAAATGGTGCCAGCCACATTGGCACAGCCAGCATCGTACGGCCTCACAGTGCGGTACAGATGGCACAAGAGCATTCAAGTGTGGCCTTATAATGTATGTTTACCACCATTTCCACCAGGCTCAGTCAACTTACCTGCACCGCTGGCACCGGTGCAGAAAAATGTGGGGCAGTGCACTTCTGGTATGTGAATTGAGTTATGACTGGAAGTACACCGCCCGACAATTTTCTGCATTGGTGTAGGAGATGCAGGTAAATTGAACAAGCCTACTGATTGTGCCCATCAAGGACAGCATCCGAGAACAAATATGTATGATTGATCGAGAAAGAGAATAGCGCAAATGCCAGAAAGCCTCAGATGAAAAAAACCTCTGCATTAATGACAAAAAAATGAAAAAATGTAGCAGCCAACTTGCATTACAACCTCTGAATAAGCTACGCTTTAGAGTAACGACACCTCGGCCATTTAGATATGAATTTTGGATTTTACGGCTTTCCCCTCTGTATAAGGCGATCACAGTTTTACTGATCTAGCCAGTCACCTCAGTGCTCAAGATCATTGTTGTAGTTGTCCAAAGCTTTGCCTGAAATCGCTACAAAAGCTTTTGCGTCCTCCAGGATCGCGAGAACGCTTTGCAGCAGAGTAAAACGACGTCGACCCAGCTTCTTGACACCGCATCCACGGCTCGGGAAGTCGCATTTTCGAATCGCGACGATTGCCAGTCGTGCCCGCTCTGCGCTAGGCGTAGCTTATACGGTGGCTCTAGCCCGCACAAAGTCACGACTGATAGCACCATGTCACGAGATGCCTCGCCGGAGCCCACCTGAATGGGAAAGACGTTGGCCTCCTTGACGTGGAACACCTTGACCTTGAAGCCCTTGCTGAGGTAGGCCGCCTGGTAGGCGGCCCCCAGCGCAGCCGCCTCATCAGCGTTCAGGCTCTTGCCCAGCTCTTTGTCCTTCAGGGCAGCCTGCAGCTCCTGCTGCACCCTCGGGATGCGGGTGCTGCCCCCCACCAGGATCACCTGGTCGATCTCATCCTGCGACGGGCGAGAAACGCCGGAGCAAGACCGGTCGGCACCGGCTCCCATTTCGAGAGCTGTTTCAACTCCGGAAAAGTCTCTCCGATAGTCACTGACGGAACAAGAACTGCGAAGACGAATTTCGGTTGCCCCGCCCCTTGCTAAGCTTTTTATCTTCAATGACACTTCGGTGTCTGCAAGCCTCGAGTGTGAAGCAACGAGCGCATGCTGGAACCGCTCCAAAGAGACGCCCCGCTACTCTCACTTTGTCGGTGGCTTTGGAAGTTGCAGTTATTGCGCGCATATTATATGCCGTGGTCACACTGCTCATACATCATACAAAAGACAGGCTGCAAACACGAGTGACCGCAATATCCGTGGTTCAAATATTCCGAGTGCCAAGTTTCTATATACGTACGCGGTTTGCACTGATGTCACACCTGCCGCCATTGTGACAGTCCTGCTGTCGAGTGTGGCGTACCTCGGGTAGCGTACGTTTTGGACTGCCAGGTTTTTATTTTTCTTAGCAAGGACAAATAAGAATGGCCACCAGCCCTGTGCACCGACGTTAGGTGCAATCTATGTATGGGTTAACCTCGAAATTAGTACAAAAGGCCGTGCACCAGCTTCACAATAGGATAGTAGTGAATGGGCTATATTGCGCGAAATGCCATCGTCTGTGTGCAGCAGACATTTTACTCTTGATTGAGGAGCTATTGCAGTCTTTCATTGGCTAGGCTTTTTCCATTGATGACGATATAATTTGCTCTTTGTCCGCTCCACGACAGTGCACGACATGCGTGGGTGTAGTTGCTGCAAAGGCTGACCTATATTCGAGTACATGTGGAACCTTAATGTGCCAATTGATGCCTAACTTTGTTTTGGAAGTTAGCCATAGCTAGGTTTAAAGCTGGGGAAGGTGCAGGTTTGAGCACATAAAACGAAGTTTTTGTAAAGGTTGCAACATGGGGTATACGACGGCTGTTGATTTTTTTTTTTTTTTCGACTTCCAATGAGCTGGGTCAAATAAACGAGTGATGAAAGCTATTTTAATATACACGAACTTGGGTACATACTGTAGCTACTTCTCCATATAATCATCATACAGATTTAAGAACCTATCATGATGTGGCACCATTTTTTTATGTCGTCCTCGAAGAAGGTTGCTACCAGTGTTTTTAATTCCAACATGTGTCAACAAGACTGTCGGTTGCCACAGACATTTTTGCCTGACCCCCATCATCATGGATGTTTGTTTGTCTTTTCGATACTTCATGCAGTTTCCTTTGTTAAGCATTACAAGTTTGTGGCAACTGACAGCCTTGTTGTTGCATCAAAAAGTAAATGGTGCGGGTATGCAGCGCTCACCAGGGTCATGCCCGAAGACTCCAGCACCCTGTGAATGGGGCCGGCGACTCGGCTGAACAGGTCCGAACACAGCTCCTCGAACTCCGTGCGGGTGATGGGATGCTTGAAGTCAACATCCTCCATTACATTCTCAACCTGCAGTGCAGACAGTTTCATATTATAAGATTAGAGAATTTTAGAGAATTTTGCAGAATACAGATCATCTGACACATTGATACGAAGGTGCTCATGAGAATGATTAGAGAATTTTGCAGAATACAAGTCATCTGACACAAAGATACAAAGGTGCTCATGAGAAATTTTAAATGACAGACCTGAGCAACGTGCTCAGTGTTGGCACTGAGCACTTTCTTGACACGGTCGGCCTCTTTGTAAAGCTTGGCCAGACCACGCTTGTTTTCAAACACGTCCTTGGACGTTTTCTTCATGGCGCTGAAGTCCTTTGCGAAACGCTCGCCCAACCTCAGTTTGAACTCCAAGCCACCCAAGAATCGGTCATAACTAGAAAGAACACAAAACAGTCATAAATGCATAGTTTCAACTTCATAAATGAGCAAGCGACTATTGAGAGATTACACTTTCAACTTCAATAACCTCTTTTGGCCCTCTTTCAGCTAGAGCCAACAGGCTTATGCAATTAATACAATGTGAAAGGACATGTGGCAGCAAACTGTTTTGTCAGAGCCTGGAAAAATGCAGCCCCTCACCAGTCAGCTTTCGGAATATGCCTTAAACTTTGAACAGTATCAATCTGTCTACAGCACGACAGGACAATCGACATAGGATCGCTTTGCTTTCTTAGCTGACAAACAATTGACTGATCATGAGAATCTGCACCAGTAACCCAAAACCTTTTCTTTCTCTTGAATAAAACCAGACTGTTCTGCTTCTACTTCTACAGTGCATGGTTTCAAGTGTCTTTTGTTTCATCATCCCTCAAAGTCACTGGGTGACAGTAGGTCATAACAAATAGAAGCAGGGGCTGCCCATCTACTGCACACAAGCCTCCGAATCTGCAGACCTTAAAAATAACAATGAAAGGCACTATGGAAGAGCAAACAGAACCTATAGCCTTTCAGTTACACATCCGGTTTTGCGATGCTAAGAAGTGTACCGGATCTTCTCAATCTTTTGCTTAGTTACCCTTTCTGTCCAGCACAATCCCTTTTAGCATACAGATTAACCATCAGCCAACTAGCCGCAAGAGGCTGACAGTATCAAATAGCTCCCCTGGCAGGCAATTCAACCTGGTTGTCTACAGGAGCAAGTTCACGCATTTACCACAATGCACTGAAAGGCTGCGTTGGGTTGCATGTGGTGTTCTAGTCGCGGCTGCGGCCGCGCAAAGACCTCTGGGAAGGCGGCGCGCTACCATCCAGGCATCGTCAAGGCGTCTGCAGCGTCTGCTCGTCGGCTCCTGCTCGTGCATGCCCAACGGTCTTCGTGTGGTGCACGCGCCGTTTCGGTTGCCAGTTAAAAATAGCGTCGAATAATACTTCGTCAAATGTAATAGAGCTTTCTAAAGGTTTGTGTAGACACTGTGATGCACAGTAGAGAGGCGATTCCGGCTTAAACTCAAGTTTCGTTTCTTCGCTTCCAGACTGTCAATCGGTAACTTCCGTTCCTCTGTCTGCAATCATTAATGAAGGATTCCTCATATTATTGATATGCATGTTCAAATTTATGGAAGTGAAAAATGGACTGCAAAGCATACCAGAATTCATTAACAGTCCAATAAAACAATTCGCAAAAAGGGGATTTGTGTGGCTCATTTTGAGCCGGTCATCTTCACGAGCCCGAAGAGCAACCTTCTTAGGAAGAATGCGCGTTCCTCTGTCGCAATTCTTTTTCATGTCATAATTGTTCCTCCTCTGTTTGTACATCTTCTGCTACATCATACAATTGTGAATGTAAATGCAAAACCAAATCGTTGAACCATCGCATTTGTTAAGGTGCATAACCATCATGACTGTTTATTACCTCCAGTTTGCACTTGCTGAGACATCTTTTTGTAAATGTGAACTTTATCTTCAAACCCTTGCCTTGCAGATACGTAAACATGTATAGTTTGCTAGTAGTTAGTTTTTCACCTTCTTCCGTTTGAAACTTGTTTGCCGACTCATACCCGTGTAACTCCCGTTTTGCGGGCACGCAAGAAATGCCTTCAGAATGCACTCTTTTGAAGAATCGGCAAAAAGGTAAGCGATCTCGGGTCTCAATTGTCGATTCTTCAGAACCAAGAGTTTGTTCTGAGGGACTGTAACGTGCCCTAAAACGGTGTATAAGCATACATATTTTTTGTTTGTACACTTGAAGTGTCAATAAAGACAACAAAGTGATAGGTTATATTGGATGTCTGTTGTGCTGAATTTCATTATTTAATTCATTACATATGCAAATTGTGCAAGTTCCACGCAAAAAAAAAATTTGAGCAGCGCACACTTGAGCAAGCACGCGTCCAGGGGGCAGCTAGCGCCATCTATTGAGCTTTCTGAGTGGAAAATAACGTCTACACGAGCTACGTCACAAAAGGGAAATCACGCGAGAATGTCCAGTGTCTGGTACGCTTCGCTTGGGAAGGCTACGGCTGCGCACTCTTGTTATCACTTAAGGGACACTAGGAAGGGTTCTCAGACACACTTAGGACTGATTTTTAATGCGAAAGCATTAACTGTCCGATGGAGCAAGCCGACGTCAGCAGCTTTGAAGCCGCGCCAAACAGCACCTTAAATCCTTACTCTAAGTGAAGCCAGCTCCAGCTATAAAACTATGCGAAAAGTCTAGCCAAATGGCACCTAGTTTCCCCAATCTCGAAGGAGTGGAGTAAAGCTGATGGATGTCGGCTTCAGTCCGATTGGCTGGCATGCGTCGACGAAGCTCCTATCGGCCGCAGCGCATCAGTTTCAACGACCCCCCATGGCGCTGCGTGTCCGCGAAGCAGTGACTCCACCACTGCACGCCCAAGGTCAGCGCGCCGAGGACAGCTCGACCGTCGACGCAAGTACTCCGCAGACGAAAGAAGGGAGTGGAGGAGTGGCATAGGCGTACATGCTTTCGCATTCACAAATCATAAGAAGTGCTTAGGCGTACCTCGAGCCTTTTAATTTCATTTATTTGACTCTAGATGCCCACAGGGGCTCACATAAAGTGTGTGTGCGTGTGTGTGTGTGTGTGTGTGTGTGAGAGAGAGTGCAAACGCGCACGCACACACACGCGCACACACACACACACACACAGTGTGGAAATTTACACTAGGTTACATTTCTAACATATACAAACATGATGTTATGGCGTGGAGAGTGGCAATTACAGATCGGTATCAACTTCTGAAATCCGAACACTGCGCTTGGGTAGATTATTCCAGTCGGAAAAAGCCAACTGTAATTGTCAGAATTGCAATTGCAATTGTCTGAAAACTGTGTTCAGAACTGTGTTCAGGGTATCCTCACCCAATGCCCTTGACAGAGAGTTGGGGTACAGTCTCGGACAGACCCTTCTCCTTGGACTTGACCGTCTGGTAGCTGACAATGGTGGCAGTGGTGCTCCCAGTGCCCATGTCGTAGAAGAGGATGTTGGTTGGGGTATCGTTGAACTCTTTCCTCCTGAACACTCCATAGTTGAGAGCCACTGTGAGTGAAAGAGAAACATCCCATCAATAGGGTGTTCGCGCTTACAACCAAATGGATCAACGTTAGGAACGTTCAATTGCACTATAGTAAATGCTTTGTGAAATGCACACAAGAAAACAGGTAACCTCCCCCCCAGTGCAATAGTTTTCTTATATACTATGATCCAAAGAAAAGATGTCAGCTTACACAAAGCATTTCAAATTGTAAGTGAATGGCAATGGATTGAAGTGAACATTCGGGAAAGCAAACGTCTACTTTTCCAAGCAGATCGACTACTCTCTAAAATTAAGAAAACAACTAAACAATGCAGTAAATCTGAAAAAAAAAAAAAAAAAAATTCAAATGTTTTTATTACAATTAAAGGTCTAACAAAAATATATTTGATTATGAATTAAAAGACTGGCAGGAAAGTAGACTGACACAAACTTCAAAATATTTAAGTATACTGCCAAAAGGTAATTGGATAAACCATCAATGGACTCCTATTATCAGAAGAAAGGAAGCTAAGGGCCTACTTCCAGATAGCACAAGAATTTGTCTGGTTTTACCCATGCTGACATAACTTGATTCATCTTCCTGTCCAGCTTTTATTGCATCTTTTTATTTAAAACACCAGTTCCAACACTAAAATAAAATCTTGCAAAGGGAGGATTAGAAGGGTAGGCTTTCTCACTCTTTCACCGAAGAAAGAAGCATTAAAAGGGCACTAAGGATGTTTACAAATTCATATCTTACGGTGCTAACTCAGACTTCATGCTCTTAGTATCCTAAAAGAACTCAAAATTAGTATCCTGAATAGCTTATTCAAAAATATGATCAAAGTTTGCAACACACCCCTTTTTCTGCAAAAGAAAGTCACTTTTCTGCCAAAAAAAAGCATGTCACGATCTTCGATCATATTTTTAATAGGAAAATAGACCATGTATAATTCTCATTTTGAGGGTTGTAAGATGCTCAGAGTGCAGAGGTTGAGTTATTGCTGCACAAAAAAGAACTCAAAAACATCCTCAGTGCTCCTTTAGAAAACTCTGCAAGACATCACAAAGGGTTGTGGAAAGCATGACAAAAAGCACTCGTACAAGCTCTGAAAATGTTTGTGTAGCTCAAAACAATTTTAAAAGCTATATGCAAAACCTGCTAAAAAAGAAAAAGAAACGATGCACTAAATAAGAAGCTCTAGGGGTCCAATCTCTACACAATAAAACAATGGCAGAAGTCTAACCTCTGGAAGTAATGGAATATAACATCTCTCAAACTATTTTTGTACACTTGATACAAACTTCAAAAGATCCAAGAGAACTGTCACCCTAAATGCAACACGACTAGTGTACTAGTACTCCAAAAGCTCCTTGGAGAATGCTGAGCTCACTTCCTGCCCTAAATATTTTGAACAGAAGAATATCAAAAGAAAAACCATGTTCAAAGCATCGCTACAGAGAAGAGGAGACTCTTACCGGCAGTGTTGTCTCCCAAAAGCTGAAGCAGCTTGAGCCCAGCGAGACTGACAGCCCGAGCCAGAGCCCGCCTTTCAGCCTGGTTGAAGTAGGCCGGCACTGTCACCACTGCATCCTTAATCGGCTGACCTGCAGTACAAAACACGAAACGTAACTGCATCATTTCTTTTACCTAGACATCTGTATGTGTCAAAAAAATATTTTAGAAATTGGCTATGAACTCAATCCCTTGCTTTGAGGTAATAGTTTTGGTCCAGTGTACTTTGTTACTCCCACCTCTACTCACAGTATTGCTATTAGAATCCCTTCAGTGCCAAATCCCAAAGAAGCTTTCTCATTCAGGAGTCCTAGATTTTGATAGTCAGAAATGTCCACATGATTGTTTAAAAACAGGCATATCTTTTTTGGAGAAAGAGGAGCTTCATTGTGGAGTATGCATTAAAGTGGGACGTCATCGTGAAGAAGAATTTGACCACAAAATTGAATAAGCTGCTCATCTCTTCTTTTCGGTGTGCGTGTTTGCTTAGGCAAGGTAACGGTTTGCACGACCGTGACATATTTCTTCAATGTGGTTAGTGTTGTTAAATGGACAGACTACAAGAGAGTACAGCCAGCTTTGCAGGAGGCCCTCTGTGGAACTGGACACCACACCTCAGAAACTGTGGCCACAGTGTGAATGCATCTAAAGGCACCAGAAGTCGCCACTTTGACTGCTCTGGTCGTGTATGCTCCACAACAGCCGGGATACCCCAGTGTTTTGGCGCATCTGTTACCCTTTCTCTCTCATCACATTGAGGGTAGAGTGACCATAAGGAGAATGGCAGAAGCCCCAGAATTTAAACATGCCAACCCCGTAAACCCTTTATAGTGCCAAACGGCCCCTTTGTATCGGTAGTGTCTCCTTCATGTCTGTATTTACTTTTTTTTACATCGCTTGAAATGTAGGAAAGTCTTGTCAATTGCGTGCTTGCCCACAGCTCTTAAGTCTTCCTGTTGTGAAACGGAACTGGTATTTTCCCAACTGGGAAATAACACCTGAGTGCCCTAAGGTCAATTTTGTTGCTTGAGAGTAAACCCCCCCTCCAATCAGCCCTCTCGTATGATAACACATGCACCAGCAAGAGCGTCTAAATATGTTTATTGATTTTTACAAGAGTACTTCTGCTAGCATGCTGGTACCATCTATGAGGTGACCCTGGAACTGCATTTCACTAGAGCAAAGGCTTTACGGTATTTGCGAGGGCAAATGTACATACCATTTATGAGAAATGGTCCTTTATAACATTGTCAAAAAATTTTCGAGCTAAGAGAGAAAGAAAGAACAAGCAAAAAGATATGGGAAATGTATGAAAACTGAAAGTGTTATTGTATAGTACAGTTTTTAGTTGCATCATAGTCCTTTTGAAGCGGGGTGGTCGCCCCCGGGGGGGCGTCGCAGCTGCAGTTTAGAAACATTTAGAAATTAAAATCAAGGTTCGTCGTCAGTATGACACAGTCTTACGGCAACCCGACAGATGGCACCAGTTTTTTTTCTCATAGTAAAAGATTTTAGAGTTTTAAGGCACATGGTTGTAAGCAGTTGCAAGTGTGTGTAAAAGAAATTTGAACATCCTAATTTTAGGGAGATCCAATGGGAAACCGTGCACGTCTGCAGCAAAGACATTGCGAGGAAAGGAGAGAGAAGTAAGCAGCCCACCGGCTGCGGTCGAAGCCAGGTCCTTGGCATAGCCGAGGATCATGCCCAGTAGCTCCTCGGGGCTGAAGGTCATGCCCTCGGGGTGGCGGAAGAGCACTCCCCCCGTCTGGGGATCCGCCTCCAGGGTGTAGAAGGGGAATCTCCTCTCAAACACCTTCACCACGGGGTTGTCCCTCGTCTTGCCCAGCAGGTCCAGGAAGTGAGAGAAGCTCTTCTCGGGGAAGCGAACTCCCTGCACACGGAAACACGAAACAGCGGCAGCTTGAAATGGCTGCCCAACACTGGACTTGTCTCCATGCACAAAGAATGCACTTTTGCAATTGCACTAAAAAAACTCCCCCCCTCCCCCCCCCCCCCACACCAGAACTATAAGGCGGCACGAGCGGACCTGACGCCGTAAAACGAGCCGTAAGAATCGGGGCCCGGACGTAGAAAGCTCAACCTTTCGCCAAATGTGCACCGAGCAGGTCAGTTTTACCGTATGAAATTTGAAGGTGTAACTCTCTCCTTGTAAAAAGTGAGACCCAAAAACTTGAAAACATCTACGTCAGGCACGTTCGCAGATGATTGAGTTAGCGACACTACTAACTTGTGGCACCACCTCTCGACAGGTGCAGCGAGCAGACGACACATTCTGTTGTCTGCTCGCTGCGACCGTGAAGAGATGGCGCCGCGAGTTAATAGCGTCGCTAACTCCGTTGTCAGCAGACACGCCTGACATTGACTTTGGCAAGGTTATTGCTCTCATTTTTTACACGAAGAGAACTACGCCTTGAAATTTCGCACGGTAAAACTGGCCTGCTCAGTGCACATTCAGTGAAAGTTTGAGCTTCCTACGTGCGGCATCTGAGTTAGGAGCCGACCTTTTAAAGATTTTGGCCTGTGAATTCAGTTATTGTACTTAACACGGGCAGAAGTAAATGTAATAGCTCGATCAGAAGGGCTAATTTAGTGCACTTCAACGGAGTGCACTTTACCTTTAGTGTCATTTGTGTAGTGTGCCACACGGTTTCTTTCTGAAGAACACACTCGGCTTCAGGTGCGTTTCCTTCTTTATCTTGGCTTGTGATGATCAATCAGAATCATCAAATCAGTGCAAATATTGTCAATTAATGTAACATTGTCTCATAACGTGTCTTTATTAAAGATACTAAAGATTGGCGAGACATTTATGCCTTTACTTTAACATATCAGATGTCTAATAGTACTTCACCCATCATTGTAATCATTTCCGAGTGACACTAATTTATCCCATGTAGCACCGAAACACTTGAAGTGACATTCGGCGACCTGAAGTGCACTTCGTTGAGGTGTACTCTATTAGCCCGTCTGACTGAGGAATAAATTAGCCTGTCTGACAGGGGTATAAACTGTATGTATATCGAGAAATATGAGAAATACGAGAAATAAGAAACAGTTGGCACAGGGCACGCGGCGAATATCTCTGCCGCCTGTCATCTGTCAAAAGCGTAGCAACGTCATCGTTGGCATCCCCGAGCCAGCTATTTGCGAGCAAGGGTTGCATGACCCCACCAATGATGTAACTTTTGCTCAGTTTTTCTCTCCACTCTCGCCCTTGACACAGCGCAATGGCCGTGGCTACAACAAAATTTTAATTGGCGATTACGACGCTCCTTTTAATAAGACTGAAGAAAAACTTAAAACAGATAATTTTTAAGATGCCTACATGAAAACTTTTATTACAGTTTTTTTTTCTGTATTCAAGGACTTCTTCAGCTTTTCTTTAAGCCCAAGTAGGAGGGAGGTAAAGAAAATAACAAAGTCTAAATTATCTAAATGTCCTTGTCCTTGGTGCCTCAGTGTTTATTATGAACAAAGCCTAGTATGCGGGAAAAACGAACAGCTTTACAATTCAAGTTGGAGAGAGATAAGGTAAACAAACCATTCAACAGGCATTCAATCAATACCATATACAGGAAGCAAACTCAACCATCAATGTTCCGTGACACTGTACCCTAATACAAAGAGAGAGAGAGAGAGAGAGCAGTCCTCATTTAGTTTCTCAAGTTTGCTAGTTATTCTAGCTATGACCAAAGTATGCTGGATTACGGTAACTCAACTAGAGAAATCGCAGCAGTTTGGCAACAGGACGATGCTCTGCATGGCAACTGCCCATTCAAATACGTAAAGTAGAACATTTTACGAGTCCTCAAACGAGCTAACATCTTGAAAACGCACCGTGGAGATGGCTTGGTCCCCGAAGTGTCGCTCACCCTCTCGAAATGCTATGGCTACTGGAGTTTTTCTTTGCGAGTCCCTGGAAGGCAGATTAGGCAAGGTTTTAGATAATTCTAATGGTAACAAGCAGAAAAAAGAAAGTAGAATGCTTTGAATCAAAACTTACTTGTTCAATGCAATTTCCATTGGAACTCCAGGCTTTAAAAAGAGAAAAACAAGGTTTTTTTAGAAGGCAGCCGATTTCATCAATAGGTTATTCTAGCTACAAAAGAAGAAGTAATAGTTTGATACTCAAAAGACATGAGAGAGCAACTATACAAAGAGCTTGGTGTGAAGTGGTAGAGAAATGCAAAAATAAAATAGTAAAAAATTTGTGTTATGTCAAAAACTTCTGGCACATGTAGAAAAAAAGATCTGCTAATCATTCTGCAAATGGCCCTCCTTATAGACTGCGATTTCGCAAGATTCAGTACATTTGATTGCGAAACATAGGCATAGGGCTATTTGGGAAGTATGGGGTATAAGCTCACCAAGGTTCATTGTTTATACACTGGTATCCTTTCCCCTCAGTTAGTAGCCAGTAAACATGTGCAGTTACAATCACACTTAACTGATGCGTGACCACACATTTTTCTATGTGGGGCGCAGTAAACTGATGGCAGCTGGTGAAACCAATCGGCAACCAATTCTGCAGCAATCATGTGCTCAAGGTGCACACGAATGCTTCAGATTGTTTGGCAGTCCGCCCAGGGGTGCCGCAGAGAAATAGATGAGTGTGTTGGTTGCATGTGACTATTGCTTCAACGACAACACACTTAATATAAAGAAAGCACCCAGTGTTCATTGTATCCTTTAATTATGTGGTATAAGTTCAAATTCTCTACAGCACAAAGAAATCCTCTATAGTCTGTAGCAAAAGGTAGGGTGAGAGAAAGGAATGCCAAAGAGGAGGAACCAGACGGAATGCTGGAGAGGAGAGGGGGAAACCTCCTCCTCTCTTTAGCGCTTTGTCTGACATTCTTACAAGAAATAACAACAGTCAGGTGGCCTTTTTCCGGTAAGCATGTTGCAAGATGCCATATTCGAAGTTAGAAATAAGCGACCATGCTCTCTATATACAGAGCGGTCCACTTTTAAAGGGAACACTGGAGCGCGTGGCCAGCGCTTCACACTGCAGTAGCAGACGACGTGCTGCAGCGCGAAGCGCCGGCCACGCGTTTGTGTACAGAGCGTTCCCTTTAAAAACAAACCACTCTGTACACATGAATGTGCCCGATGCAATGTCACCAATTAGTTTTACTGGCTGTCATCACTCTAACATCCTGCAGAAAAACATGCATAGTCGTGTGCTCTATGAAATGTGATAGTACAGTGCAATTTCTCACAGTTATGTCACTGATTTGATGCTTCACACTAGAATGCATATGTATTCTCAGTGCAATACAATTATTTACACACACACTTACAGAGACAATTGCTACTTTCATCCATTCTGTACCCAAGTCCACAGACATAACAGCAATGCATTCAACTGAAAAAAAAAAGAAAAAAATGAAAGGGATTAGTTTATTAGTGCAATATTTTACTTTTAAGAAGCAGCAGAGAATCCAATTCTGGCTCAAGCATCACTCATTGCAACCAGTTTGCACTGCTTCACAAAAAGAAGTTACCATGTGCAAACACTTTCAAAAACGTGCGGGCGAAAACTACCAACACATCAAATGAGTAAGAATCGGACATTTTACAGAGTTGATCCTGCTTCAGTAGACCAAAATACCACTGGAATGAGATCTGGAACAGGCTTCAACTTCGAATAATTTACGTTCCATTTTCTGTAAATATAACTACCCGAATTCTAGAATCTATAAAAATAAAATAGAAAAGTACAGCTGTAATTCTGTTATTGTGGTTTTGCGCATTGATCGAAGTTCATCATCTTGGGATCACTTTTCGCTTTCTCGAAAGATCCACGTATCGAGCTGATCGTTTCGTGAAGCCTGGCAAAAACGAAAACACATCTGGATGAAGACAAGTACTTCTCTGCCGATACAAAATTTAAAAAAATGTGCGTACACAACGCACGGTCGATCATCCCCTAGCTGTATTGATCAAAGGCCAACAGCAGTTGACAGAAAGCTGAGAAGATATCAAACAGCTGTAACCGCCATGGATAAAGGAGTTCTCGTAATATCAAAAGCAGGCATGTATTTACATGATCACAGTCTAAGGAGACGAAGAGCTTACCTTTTCTAACATGAACTAAACACAACGTGATGAAATACCAGGTGAGCCATAGACGAGATTGTGATACAAAGGCCATGGCTACTGACTCGATAGCAGCTGCAACAAATAAACAAAAGGAAACCCGTTTTACATAAAACACTGATTAATACAGCTTCGAAATCTATTATAGTTAACCGATATGTTGTAGCGAGTCACGTTTAAGGAAGATGAGCGTAAAGCATGTTATCAGTTCGACATGTCGTCGGTGTTCATTCATTGAAAAAACACCACTGCGGTCGAATCGGTCTCCAAAATTCTACCTTCGCTGTGCGGCGATGATTCTGTCCTATCATCGCTAGAATAGGAAACGTTCAAACTTACCTACTGTACTATAATCTATAAATATGATTAGGCGATATTAAACATGACGGGCACATGCACTGGTGTGCCGGTAAACGAAAATCGCGACTTTTAATGATGGCCGGGGAATGTGGCGAAGGGTGATTGGGCTGTCCGTACCGGATATCCGGGGGAATGACACGTGGATCCGTGGATCATATGTTTCCTACGGTTCCTGGCTCGACGGTGTGCTTGTGCGGTTGCTGTGGTCAGCTCGGCGGCGCGAAATGTGTCACGTCAATCTTTTCTGAATTAGGTCAGCTTCCGTGATTTCGAAGGCCAGTTTGCCTTTTTCCAAAAGGCGGCCCAAACTTTCCTGTATCTTGGTTTTCCTCTAGCAAGTGGACCGCTATTGGCGAAAGCAGGTGAAACGAATAGATAGTCACCATAAAATAGACAAAACTTTTTTTAAAATTGGTGAATGTGCTGCGCCATCTAACCTATACCTAAGCGCAACGTAGCCTATTTTTATTCCGTCATTATTCAATGGTATTACACTAGCCAGTCATGTTAATAAATAAAAATAAATGTAAACATCTTGTCGCTGCGTCGCTGCAGCCGCTGGTAACTAGAAGTGTGCGCCTGTCGCTTTTTCACCGGCGGCGGCGTGGCGGTCATTTTGCGTCGTTAACGTCCTATTGGCGCGAAATTCAATATCAAAGGGGCCTTTGAGACATTCCACTGAAATTCAAACGTCGATAATAAAACTTAACGCGCTTTCATTTGAAGTTTAAAGCTTTATGGGAAGGAAAGAAACTAGAAACTGATATGGCCATAATTTTGACTCTATTATTTTTAACGGTTAGACTGATTGGTGTAAACGTTACGGTTTGGCAAGTGAGACGTGTGAGTTTCACAAAACCTAACTATGCCTGCCATGCCCCCGCAACAAAGAACAAAAAATGAGCGGATAGGAGAAAGGGATCCATTTTTTTCAGTTGTGTTAGTTCGCTTCGCATGATATCGGACACTAAACTTTCTGCCGGGTATCGGATATTAACATCTAACAAGATAGCAACGCTTCGTATTTTGTAAAATGACCGGTTTGTCTACATTATCAAAGAGAGTGTGTAATTTCGTCTGGAAGATTGTATTTTATTAAAGAAATATGGCGGGTGTTTGCAAAAAAAAAAAAAAAACAACGTGTTTTACAAAAAAAAATGATTGAACGTTTACGTCAGCCTGCAGATGTAGAGCTAGTGGCCCGGAGCAGATGCCACTTTCAGAGCTTGTCGTTATCCGATTAAAAGTTATGAACGATTTTCAGAAACCTTCAATTAGAAAATGGGACGCGTTCCTGGTCATGTTTGCCATCCATTCCTGGGCTCCGTTGATCGCTATTTCCTAACTGAAATTTTCTTAAAGTCGCGAGTAAGTTTTTAATCAAACAAAGGGGCCCTCAATCATATTTAAGTGTTTACTATTTTTGCGGTTTCCACGTCTCTTGTGGTTTGGGCAACCCAGCGGGCACTGAGAGAGTAACTTACAGCGCTCGTGCCGTGTGTTTCTTCTTCGTCCTCGTCTGTTTTTCGCGCTGTTTCCCATAATGATTAACTAAATATCAGTGCGTCATATTTTAATCGGACGACGCGGAAACGCGGAAACCTCCTGGGGGCGCCCCGTGGTGCCGAAAGCGCGCGGCATGTGACGAAATCGGGACGTTGATCAGGTCAGCCTAGGAGAGAGAGCTGCCCCGTTCCCAGTAGCTCTCTCTCTCTTAACCGGACAAGGTGGATTTTTTCATGTTGTACCGCAGCGAAGAAGCGCGAGCTCATAGCGTCGGCAGCTGCCCTTGCGCGCACGAGAGCTTGTGCCGCCGAGATGTACCCGAGAACAAGGAGCTCGCGCTTGTAGCCTTTCCTGCGGTACAACACAAGGTGAAACAGAGTATAGCTGTGTTTGGAGCTTTGTGCTTGTCATTTATCCCTCTTGTTCCCCTTCTCCAAGGATTATTTTCGCCATTCTTCTCCAGCTCGCTTGCACCTTTGCATTTAATTGCATTATAATCAAGCTCTCTCTCCTCTACCTCACCTCCTTTTCCCGCCTCCCCTCCTCTCCCCACATCCCCCAGGGGAATTCTCCGGCGCGGGAAAAGGGGGTACAGATCCGGTTAGGCGGCCATCCAAGCCAGGACCAGGGACGTCATGAAGGAGGTTATTTTTTGCTTTTTCTTGTAATTTTTATGTGCCTATAACTTTTAGAATAAAGCAAATTTCCAGAAAAGTTTCACTAAGTTACTACGTCCAGTGCGCTCAGGCTTGGTGCAAATAAAAAAAAAAAACAGTAAAAAAGTCGTTGCAGGGTCCCTTTAAATATTCAACGTGTCGCAAGAGCAGGTCGATCTTTCACGTTCTGTTTGAGGCCTCCTGTGTTGGAGATTTGTTTCGGTAATACAATTTACGAGTGGAACGGGATGACGCGGAAAAACATCGGAGCAACTAACTACTAGCTCGTAACGAGCGTGATATAACCGGGTTGAACCCACCTGCAGTCTTTCTTTTAGAGCGCAGCTCTTTCCCACCCGTTCCCTCGTTTCGCCGCGTCGCCGTCGGCGTAACCGCCCCGCTAAATTTAGCGGGAAATTGAATTCGTGTTGAGGCACGTGACGTCAGATTCCCCGCTAAATTTAGTGGGGAAACTGAATTCCTGATGAGGCCACGTAACGCCGATTTCCCTGCTAAGTTTAGCGGGTTAAGTTTCCCGCTAAATTTAGCGGTGAAACTGAATTTGTGATGAGGTCACGTGACATAAATTTCACCGCTAAACTTAGCGGGTTAAGTTTCCGGCTAAATTTAGCGGGGAAGTTGACGTCACGTGACCTCAACACCGATTCAGTTCCCCCGCTAAATTTAGCGAGGAAAATGACGTCACATAACATTGTGTCACGTCACCCATGAACAAATCCAGCGGGAGGGAGGAGGAGGAAAAGGAGGACGAGGAGCGGTCGAGGTGGGGATTGTACGGAGGAGGAGGAGGGGCGTACACTCCCCTCCTCCTCCTCAAGAGCTGCGCTGTAGTTTCGCATACAGAGATTTTTAAACGTCTTTCATTTTGGAGCGCAGCTCCCCGTTTCCGAGTTTGTCGGCGTCGGTGTAAACGCGCTAAATTTAGCGGGACAATTGGCGTCACGTGACCTCAACACCAATTCAGTTCCCCCGCTAAATTTAGCGAGGAAAATGACGTCACATAACATTGTGTCACGTCACCTATGAACAAATTTAGTTTCTCCGCTAGATTTAGCGGGAAAATTGATGTCACGTGACCTCAACAGGAATGCAATTCCCCGCTAAATTTAGCGGGAAGATTGACGTCACGTGACCTCAACACCAATTCAGTTTCCCTGCTAAATTTAGCCGGGAAAATGATGTCGTACGACTTTGTGTCACGTCACCTATGAACAAATCCAGTTTCTCCGCTAGGTTTAGCGGGAAAATTGACGTCACGTGCGGAGGAGGAGGGCGAGAGGGTGAGGAGGATGGGCCTCCTCTCCGTACTCTCTCCGCCTCCTCAAGAGCAGCGCTCTAATCTCGCGTTACAGAAATTTGTAAACGTTAAAATTAACTTTTGGGCTAGTTGGGTAAACATCTTAACTAAAAAAGCGCTTGTCCTGTTCACATCTTTGTTCTGTCCTTGTCCTTTGCGCTTTTGTAATTAAGAAGTTAATTTGTAAACGCCTCTAAATTTTTTTTTTGTTTTTTTACTTACATAGACAAGGTTTTTCTACGTCATCCCCCTCACGTATCACTCCCTATTTATAATTTATTTTCCGTTTAGGAAAGAGCCCCAAATGTCAACGAGAAAAAAAAAAGGAATTGTTCAGCAGGGTCAAACAACTTTATATTTCCTTTTTTTCTTTTTTTTTTTTGTAGAGCTTTGGGAGATTTTAATTATCGTTCGAACCGAAGATGATCTTCGCCAAAAGTTGAATCGATGGGGGTGGGTCTACACGCTCATTAGTACAAATGAGATTTGCAACGGGCCCGGAATGACACCCCCGTAATTTCGCCAGTACAACCGGCCGGAACCTACCCGGCGCCACTCCAAGCCTATTCATGAAAAATATTTCACACCGTGTCACCTTCGTAGTTTCGCTAGTGCCTCTGCACAAATGGCTGGGAGAGGAGTCATCGGGAGTCAATTAGATTCCCGAAATCCTCCAACAATCCCAAACAGCCGACCCCGCCGGGGAAGGGATTGACATGTCCCCCACAACACGAGCCGGCGAGGCAACACGTTTCCCCTGCTAAATTTAGCCGGGAAAATGACGTCGCATGACTTGGTGTCACGTCACCTATGAAAAAACCCAGTTTCTCCGCTAGGTTTAGCGGGAAAATTTATGTCACGTGCGGAGGAGGAGGGGAGGAGAAGGTTTGCCCTACCCCCTAAAAACAAAACAAAAAACGAAGGGCAGTCGGTTAACATTATCAATCACAGAAGGCCCAAACGTGCACAAAACCGCACTCTCGTAAAAAAAAATAATAATAATAAAACTCATGAGTTATTCCACTCTGGATGACCAGCGAAGCTGTTTATCAAAGGACACAGACATGACACAGAATTTTGAACAAAGGCACGAACACATTTATTGTCTTGATCAGTGGTCATCGTGACGAAAGGTACGCACACAGATCTATTGTCACACAGATTTATTGTTGTCTTGATCGATGGTCATAATTTTGCGTGAACGACTATCGCCGCCCCGAGGAGCCGAGGGAAACTAGACACGCGCGACGCGATGGAACTAGGGGTGTCGCGAACTTTTGTCGAACCAGATTTTTTGGTCGAACTTTCGAGGTTCGACCGGGTCGAACCGGTTCGACGAACCTTCGAACTTTTCACCAGATTCGACCGGTTCGACTTTGTGGACAGTGTGGCCAGACCTTTATACAAGCATGTCTAGGTTTGGAGATTTTTGTTTTAATGCAAAGGTTTATTTTATTTTGTGAACAGCTGCAATTAAAAGAAACTAATTCTAATCACTGACGAAGTTAATAACTTAATTTTTAGTACTGTATTGACTGAAATAGCTAATCAGCGCTGCACTGAATTCATCTCTTAGCCATTACCATCCAATCCGAAGCCAACTGGCCAGCCTGTCGCGCATGCGCACACGAGTCGAACCTCAATACAAGGTTCGTCGAACTTTCCACTAAAAGTTCGAAAAAGTCGAACCTGGTCGAACTCGAACCGCGGCCGGTTCGCGACACCCCTAGATGGAACTGCTTCCCGGCGGAAAGTTGACGCTCGCGACGGGGCCGCCGCCCCGGGAGGGCGGAAGGAAAGGAAACTATACACGCAAGCGCTTGGAACGACGACAAAGAGAGGGCGGTGCGAGCGTAGACATAGCCGATGCGGGTCGCACGGCGGCAAACCTTCGAGAAACCTTTATTATCTGCCTGAGAGTCTACTAATCTTGAAAATGGTGCCTATTGATAACTAACCTACTGAATAGACCTATT